ACTTTATAAAACAAATACTACTAGATATAAAAGATCAGATAAACTTCAATATAACTATAATGGAGGACCTCAATATTTCACTGCCACAATTATATCAACAAATATCAGAGTTGTGTCAAACCTTCAAATAAATTGAATTAGTAGGTATCTACAGATTGTTCCACTGAAGAACAACAGACTATACATTCTTCCCAGTTCAACATAGAACTTTCTCCAAAAGTTCATACTAGCCAATTGTAATTATTGATTGATTGTGTAAATTTGACAAGTTCCAAAGCTTAACTAAGTGGCCTCAGCAATTCTACACTCTAAGGTGTAGGGGATCCACCCGAGGGCAACTCATTACCTGGATGGTTAGGGGGAAGTAAGGAAGAATGGACTCACTTCTGTTCTTCAGAGGAGCTCCAGTCTTTGCTTTCAGCCTGCTTCTTAACATAGATTCTTCCACTCTTGCCTTGGATCCTTAAGGCTTCCACTGTAGACTCAGTAAATATCTTTCAGTGAATATTTTTCAGCTCTCCATCATAGACACTTCAGCCTCCAGTTACAGACTCACCAACCTCTTGATATGGACTTGCACAGGACACTCCAGTGAACTCCAGATCTTGAGTTGAAACCTTCAGTATCCAGAGTGCAGACATTCTCTGCGTACTTTCTCATCCAACTCTGTGGCGCACCATCATAAGCCATCTTGCAACTTCTTATACATTTGTACATCTTGTGTTGTATCTGTTTCTCTAGTAAACTCTGACTGATACACCAATAAATCATGTTTAAATAAATGCAAAAGGATCAAACTACCCATGCATATTATCATATCATAGTGCAATGAAACTAGAAATCAAAGGCAAAAGAAATTGTGCAAAGACATGAAAATTAAACAATACATTCTTGAATAATCATTGGGTCACAAAAAAAGTCAAGGAAGAAATTAAGTTGTGGTTAGAATCAAATGATAAAAAACATCAAATAATGATACCAGTACAACATACCAGAACCAATGAGACACAATGAAAGCAGTCTTTGAAAATAAAGTTTATAGCTATGAATGCTTACATCAGAAAAGAAGAGCAAGCCCAAATAACCTAATAATGCACTTCAAGGTCCTAGAAATAGAATACCAATTCAAAGCTAGCTTAGGGAAAGAAATTATAAAGATCAAAACAGAAAGTGAAATTTAAAAAATAATATGAAATTCAGACTAAAAATACAAAAAATCAATAACTCAAAGAGCTGTTTCTCACAACCTAAGTATCCATCAACTGAGGAATGGATTAAAAAATTGTAATATTTTTATACAATGGAGTACTACTCAGCTATAAAGAATGATCACATTGAGATATTTATAAATAAATGGGCACAAGTTGAAACCATACTCATCAGCGAAATAAATCAAACCCACATGTATAAATACCGAATAGTTTCCCTAGTGTAAGAAATGATAACAATACATAAAGCTATGTGGTAATCATGATTCCCCATTTTATTGCTTTGAAGACTTATAATGTTTTCATTCATTAATTGGGATAGTTTTATTCTGGGCTGTTTGATTTTATTGTCTGTGATGGTATGAACAGCTATTTTGAAGAAAACAAGACATCATAATAGCTAGTGATGATTTAATATCATCTTGTTTTGAAGTTCCATCAAGCTTTTGTTCTTCTGTCTCCATCGGTCTTAACATGTTATATCTTACTAGATTTTATTATATGTGATAGTACAAACAATTATATGTGATAGTACAAACAATTTTTATAGACAAGGAGATAATATAGAAACTACGTTTTGTTTTGTTAGTTGGTTCTAAATACCCTGTAATATTTTCATTCTGTTGAAAGGTTTTACATTGTCTTGATATGTTTGATGCTACAGTATACGAAGTTATACTCAAATATTCCAAGGAAAGAGACACTATGATAACTACTGTTATGTCAGGATATCTTGTGGTGAAACACTATGTTGCTTAAATTGTTATGTTCTTACCTGTGCTGTTGTGTTATGTCCTCTTTTATCTCAATCTCCTTTTATTATTATTATTTTATTTTTTTAATTAAGGGAAAAAATAAATTTTAAAATAGCAGGATATATTATAGTAACCACTTTGACTTCGTATTAACTTGATTTGAAGCCCTGTATTGCTCTCACCATCTTGTTTTGACTGATTTTACTCTACTCTGTTTTGCTTGATAGTATCAAGTTTGAGAGTATAGGCAACTACTTTGAAGACAATAAGATTCACTATGATGCCCATTCCGGTTTGACTATTATTTTCTTTTGAAGTCCTGTAATGTCTCCAATGTTTCAGTTTTATTGGTTTTGTTCTGTACTGTTTTGTTATTTTACTATAACTGATGGTATAGGCAATTCTTTTTAAGATAGCAAGAGGCATTAGGGTAACCATTGTTGATCACCTCGTATTCTGTTTTTATTTATCTTTTTTTTTTTGCCTTTTTCTTTTTTATCAGTACCAGGGATCGAACTCACGACTGCCTGCTTGCAAGGCAGGCGCTTATGCCGCTGAGCTAAATCCCCAGCCCCTGCCCCTTTGTATTCTGTTTTTGCATAATGTACTATGTCCATCCTTTTGATTTGACTGACTGTTTTGTTATGTCACATTTGATTTTTCTCTCTTCAAAAAAAAAATAATAAGAACTGTGGGAGTAATAAAACCTAAAATGTGTAATTGTTATTGTAAAAAAGAGAGGAAAAGAAAGTGCTCTAAAGTATATAATTGCATGTATATTTAAGTGTATAAGATAGATAACCATATTACTGAGTTTTTGTTGGATCATTAACAGAACTGTTTGCAGTCTCAGTGTTTGTCCACTTTATATGCTTTAATTTTGTAATCTGAACAACTATTTCTAAGATGACAATATGTAATCTATTAAGTGATTTCTTACTGTTCATTTTTTTGAAATTCTATATTACTTGTACCCTTTTTCTGCTTTTTTTTCTCTTTAAATAAAATTTTTTAAAAAGAGCTGGTTCTATGAAAAAATAAGCAAAACAGGCAAAGCTTTATCTAATATTACCCCCAAAAGAACAGAAACGATCCAAATTAATTCAATTAGAAATGAAAAAGGCAAAATCACAGTGGATACCACCAAAATCCAGAAGGTTATTAGGAACTACTTTGATAACCTGTACTTTAATACATTGAAGAATTCAGAAGAAATGGATAGATTCCTAGATACATATGAATTATTAAAACTTAACCAAGAAGATATAAAAATCTTCAATACTCTTAAAACTCTGCAACAAAATTGAAAGGGAAGAAATACTTCCAGACTCATTCTGGGAATCTGGAAGTATTTCTTAGTATTACCCTGATTCCAAAGGCACACAAGGAGCCAACTGAAAAGTGTATGTCTGGCCATTAAAGAAATGCAAATTAAAACACTGAGATTCCACCTTACTCCAGAAAGAATGGCTATTATCAAGAAATCAAATAGTAACAAACACTGACAAGACTGCAGTGAAAACAGAACCCTCCTACTTGTTGGTGGAAATGTAAACATTATGAAAATCAGTATGGAGATTCCTCAAAAAACTAAAACTAGAAGTTCCATTTAACCCATCTATTTCCTTGTAGTTCTCTTCCCAAAAGAGTTCAAGATATCATGTTACAATGATTCGTGCATATCCATGTTTGTAGCAAAAGAATTCATAATAGCTTAATCCTGGGAGCAGCTCCAGCCAGGTCCAGAAACAGGAGAATGGGTAAAGAAACTTTTTATATACCACACAGTACTATTCTGCCATAAAGGATAAATTTGAGTCATTTGTAGAAAAAGATAGACGCATCTTGAGACTATAATCTTAAATAAATCAAACAAGCTTAAATATTGTATGACTTCTATTATGAGAAACCCAAAGTACAAATATATTAAAGAACAAAATAAAAGACAATAGGAAACAAGGAGTTAAATCTTTTGCAAAAGAGAACTACAAATACATGGAGGTGGAAGAGGAGGGGGAAAGGATGAAAAAAGAATTAAAATGTGTTATGAAACTGTACCAACTACTCACGATGAATGTATAATTATGTACAGCAAACAATACTAATTAAACAAACAAAAAAAAGCGGCTGCAAAGCCCAGGCCTCCAATAGTGCACGTACTCTACTGGATGGGGAGCAGGAAATTTTTCTGAGAAAGTTGGCTGGCAGTGATGCTTTGATAGTACCATTTTGTGGAGGTGTGGATTTGTGGCCTCCACCTTTCCCCAAGGGATGCTCACGCAGTCTGCCTACCCTAGACCGGCCTCTGCATCCGCTGCACTGACAGGCTGCGCTCAAAACTACCGGGTGGCACCAAGGGAAGCAAGGATGACTTGACATTTAGCCCCTCTCACGGTTCACAGCGGCCTCACCTCTCTTTCAGCCGCTGTACTGCACAAGTACAACTTAAGAGTCTTGGAAACACAGGCTCTATACAAAACCCTAAACAGGCATCCTGTCCTCCAAATAGACTGAGAACCCTTATGCAGAGTCCACGGTTGGTACTCGGGAATCTGGGGTCTTCCAAAGCCTATGTCTCTTCCATAGAGGTCGGGTGATGCAGCTCTCCTGAAGGAAGTTCAGCAATTTGGGGTGAAAACAGGGCTCCGCGAGAAGCCATAAAACCGGATTCCAGTTTGGCTTCTTAGCAACTTCTATGCTGTATAATGGGGTTAAATAGGGACGTTTTCGATGCCCCGACGGAACTGCTATTTTCCGCAAGTGGGAAGGCAGAGACCGGCGCGGCAGCACCGCGGGTCGCCGGAGGGGCTGTGGGCGTGCCCCCAACCCCACGGGCGGCATCCGGGAGGAGGGGCGCGCGCGGCAGGACGCACGGCTCGCTGGGCCCCACCCCTAGCAGCCCCGCAGCAGGGGCGGGGCTCGAGCCTGCGGGCGGACCCAGCTCTGGCCCGCCCCTGCGGGGCCGTCACGTGCCCTCACCCGGAAGTGCGCTGGAGGCCTAGCTGCAGCCGGGAAGTGTGGCTGAGATCTGGTACGTGGGCCCCGGTAGCCGCCGGGCGCCGTCCCTGTCCTCGTCTTCGTCCTCGTCCCTTGTAGTCCTTCAGCCGTGGGCAGCCCTCCCGGAAGTAGGGAGGCTATGGAGTCCCCCGGAGAGGAGAGGCTGCACCCCTCACCATCACCCTCGCCCTCCTGGTAGTAGTGCTCCCAGCCAGCCTGCTCCCCAGGGTCCCCCTCGCGCCCTGGAAAACCTGGCGATTTGGGAGTGAAACTGCTGCATAAACTGCTGCAGTGCCCGGAGCGCCTTAAGGCTTTGGGAGGTGAAGGATGACCATCGCTCTGCTGAGACTCCCCGCAGCGCTTCCTACCAGGTAGACCGAGGCCTGCCGGTGCTGTTGCCTGTAATCTCGGCATTCCAGAGGCTGACAGGAAGTCACTGAAAGCTCAAGGCCAGAGTGGGCTGCACGTTCAAAGCCACCATCAATTACACAGCAAGACCCTGTCTCAAAGAAAGAATAGTAAGATAAGACAAAGGCCCTTGAGGCACTTTGCTGAGGAAAGATCTAAAAGGTAAAAGTGGGCGCTGAGGGTTTTCCCAGGTTGACCCCCGACACCATCTGGAGCGCCCTTCTTCAAAGTGCTCGACTCTGTGTTTGCTCTGTAGAGCTGGGTAACTCTGTAGAGGGGTGTGAGGTTCTCATCCCAACAGCCTCTGCGTTTGCTAAAACAAAATGAAACATTTAAGGACTGCTGCTGAGCATCCCCAGCTCCCCAGAATGTGGCCTTGGGGCCTTTGCGTGTAACCAGGAGGTCAAAGAAGTCTGTTGCAGAAGAGGTGGAACCGGAAGGAGCCCTTATCTGGGTGGCCACTTACCTCTTATTTACTTACAGTGGTTTGCTATTAAACTTTATAAACTTTTGCAGTGGTTCCTGCCCTTTATTGAAATATGAATAATTATGGAACTGGGAACCAGTTTAGTTTATCCTGTCACTAGAAAAAAGGAAGCTGAGAAATAAGAATAGCAGTTAGTTCCCACTCCAATTATTATTAAAGCTTAGCTTGCTAAATCTAGGAAATAACCTGGTTAGTTGTGCCCTTGACTCTCCATCCAACCATGTATGAAGATAGAACAGGAATTTGTTCACTCATTTCCCAGTGAGAGATTTAGATCCAAAAATGTTAAAGTGACCTGACAAAAACACTGCTAAAACCAAGTCTCCAGTTCCTTTGCTGACAGTTTATTCTGTCCACAGTGTCCTCCCAGGATACCTACTCGCCTTTCTCCTCTCACCTCCCTGCTGCTTAAGTTGGACTTTACTGTCTTCTGTTACTCAGCAAGTTTCTCAGGCTGCTCAGGACCCTCTTGCTGGCTGTTCCATGTCTAGGAGACCCATAGTAAAATGAGAGCTCGTAGGAGGAAACAGGAAGTAGAAATAATGTTTGCTCACTGCAAAGGGTTCTGCTAGCTGGAGTCACATTTTCCATGTTGGGAGAGGAGAGTCCTTCCCTGGTTTGTCTAGTCCCGAAATGGACAGCAGAGGGGACCAGTGCCTGTGAGCCTATGCTTGTCCTCATGTTCTCTCTGTCTCTCTGTCTCAATCATTTGCAGGACAAAGGATGCTATGCTGTTCCATGAACTGGTCACTCGGTTTGGCTGCTGCAGCCCCTTCTAAATCTTTGGCAGCCTGAGGCTCTGAGGTGCTACTTCCCAAGGTAGATGCTCCTCCCTTCCTGGGGTGGAGGGAGAGGGAGAGGTGAGCAGCACTGTGGGAGGCCATAGAAAGCAGAAAGAAGCAGGCTGAGCTCTCCTGGATCCTGCACTCCTTCGCTCATCCCCACTCCAGCCTTGCATCCTGATGTCTCCTCTGTCCCAGCATCCCTTGCATCCAGGTGACCATCAAAGCCTGCAGAGTCTCTAAGGTATGCCTCTTAAATAATTTCCTCCTTCTCCATCAAGGAATGGGCCCACTTCAAGCTAGCTGACCTTCATGACATTAGCATGGCTCATCCCCAGCCCCCTCCTGTCAGCTACAGCCTCCACATCTCCTAGCCAATTTCTTCTGGAGAGGGTACCCTCACATACTTCAGCTCTGGTCCCAGCACAGCCTCTTGCAGGTCCCTGCTCTCTCCAGCAACTTCTCATCCCATTGCCCTTCCTCTGTGTGTGGTAATGTTTAGCAGTCCCATGGGAATAGGCTGGACCCTTCACTCTTTCTCTCTACATTAGCCTGGGTCCAGTGCTCTGGGTTAGAGTTGGTAACCCAACTAGAAGGTGGAGAAGAACACAGTGAGGACCACTGAACTAGCTCATAGGAATCCTGTAGAGTATGATTGAGTCTAGGACCTTGAAATGCTGAGAATCTCCTAGGAAATAGGGTCCCGTCTTATGCAAGAATTAGGACACAGCTTCCAAATCACTGTCATAGCTTAGCACATGGATAGTGTGATTACCTCTGTGTGGCACACTGATGTTCACAAGGAGATATGAAACCCATGCGTGAGGCCTGTAACTGCAAACAACAGACGTGGTGTTCTTACCATTCTTAAGTTCCGCTGTCCTAAGTGTTGATAGCATTGATGTCCTGCTGTACCCTAGGGCCAAGGTACATTGTGGGAAGCTCTGTGTTACAAATACTCCAAAATAAAACTCATTTTACATACTGAACCATTGGTATGTGTAGCATGGGCCTATAATCCTAGATATTCTGGAGGCTGAGGAAGGAAGATCACAAGTTCAAGGCCAGTCTGGACAATTTAGACACTTTGTAAAATGTAATACAGGCTGAGGGAGATGGTGTATGCCTGTAATCCCAGCACCTGGGAGACTAAAGCTGGAAAATCACTGCAAACTTGAGGCCCGCCTAGGCTACATAATGAGTCTAAGACCAATTGCTACTACATAAGGAGACCCTTCTTAAAAACTAAATAAAAAAGAAAGAAAGAATTTTTTTAAAAAGGGAAGGGAATATAGCTCAGTGGCAGAGCACTTGCCTGATAGGTGCAAAACTCTGCCCAAGGAGGCCAATGCTCACTTCAGCCTGGTACCTGGCCTGCAGTGGAGGTAACTAATGTATCTTGGCCTCTTGGCCTCTAAATAGAAAACAGATCCAAAAAGGAGCACCCCTCTAAAGATATAATGGTGGGAAAGTGGGTACAGAGGAGCGAAACACATAGGTGACTGAAAAGCAGAAGTTAAACAGATTCGGTTAAGATGGAACCTGGGGTGAGGTCCTCAGGCAGCCTGTTTCCAAGAGCAGAAAGCTTTGATGTATCTCTTATGTTATATATGTTGTGCTGAAATAAACTCTTCCTGGGCTTTGGGGCCCATCTTGGGAGCTGTTTTCTGTTCAGAGGGGAAAATGCCTCTGGGCTGCCTAGGAGGGCTCTGCCTGCTTCTGCTCCAGACCAGATGTCAGCCCTCTGCAGTGAGTAAGCATGGCTTCCTTGGGCAGTCCACTCTGTCCAGACCAAAGTCGAGTCCCCTCCATACATTTGTTTCTGAGAGGCCTGATGCCATGAGATGAGGACCTCCTGGATAACAGGAAAGGGCCTCAGACTTAGCATCAGACAGGCCTGTGCCCCTGCCCACCTCTGTAACTGAAGAACCTTACTTCCCTTAAGGGATAGGAAGGCTCTTGTGGTGGCAGAAAGGACTCGGTACATGTTTGCCGGAGTTTGCATTCTCTTCTTAATTATTGACTGGCTTGCCTTGACCTTCCTTCTCTTTGGCAGATGAAATGCATCTTGGTGGCCACTGAGGGTGCAGAAATCCTCTTCTACTGGACAGATGAGGAGTTTGAAGAGAACCTCCGGCTAAAGTTTGGGCAGTCAGAGAATGAGGCAGAAGAGGTGAGAGGATGGGTGCAAGGGAACCGAGCAAAGCTACCAGAATGCAGGGGAGCAGGAGGAGCTGAGTTCGCTGGTCCCTGACCAGCCTGAGGAATGCAATTAGCAGGACCTGTGAGTCAGCCTCTTGGAGTGATCCTGCTCTTCTACCACCAGGGCTCACTGGGACTGTGAAAGCAAAAGGAGAAAGACTTTTAACCTCACAGTTGAGAATTTCGGTGTCATCAGTTTCTCTAAAAACTTTGAACTTGCAATTAATGCATGAATTTTTAATAGCCATATTGAGGTAAAATTGACATATCATTATCTATTTGTATTTGATATGCTTTGACATGTATGTATACATGTGAGTGCAGAAAACTTACCTATCACCCCCAAAGTGATTGCTCCTGTACTACCCCAGCCTCTAACAACCACTGATCGATCTGTTTCCCATCATGATTGGTTTGTATTTCTAGACTTCCATAAAAAAATCATACCATATGCATCTTGGTTTCATTTTGTAGGGGTTTTTTTGTTTTGTTTTTTGATCTGGCCTTTTTTACTCAGTGTAATACTTCAGTTCCTCTGTGTGGTAATGTGTATCAGCTGTTCGTTACTTTTCATGGCTGGGCAGTGGTTTATTGTCTCAACGTGCCCCAATTTGTTTATTCATTTACCTACTGGTGGACATTTAAGTTGTTTCCAGTCTCTGACTTTTACAAATAAAGCAGCCGTGAGTGTTCATATATAACTCTGTATGGGCATATGATTTCAGTTTTTGTGGGTAATATCCAGGATAGAATGGCTGGATCATGAAGGTACACGTTTAACTTGTAAAGAAATCACCAAACTTCGCTGAAGTGGCTGTATCATTTTACATTCTACCCGTGGCATGTGAGTTCTAGTTCCTCCTGCTAGTAGCTGGAATGGTGAATGTTTACTGCATCTCACTGTGTTTTTTCATTCCGTGACCAGTGAGTGATTCTGAGCATGTCTACATGTGCATTAACTTGCCACATCAGTTTTTGTACATGTTTGCAGTTCATGCTTGCATTCATCATAGGATGTTGGTACATGTACATAGCATATCTTAACTCTTTTTATTTCCCTTCTCCCACCTTCCCTCCACCCTCTCTCCATCTCTGGATCCCCTTCCCACTTGCAAAAGGTCTATCTCCCCATATCCTATTGTCTGTCTTTTATTTTGCTATTTAAATTATTTATACTTTCCATGTCTCATATAAGAGCCTATATGATATCTCATCTTGTTTGTTTCATTTCACCTAATCATCTATTCATTTCAGTTCCTCATGTTTGAGTGGGTCTTTTATTTTGGGAGCTGTGATTTGTTTGAGTTCTTTCATATTCTGGTTGTTAGTCCTCTGTCGGAAGAGTAGCCCCCTTGCCATAGCTTTTGCCCATTTTTAAAATCAAGTGATTATTTCTTTTGAGTTTTGAGTGCTTCTTATATATTCTGAATGCAAGTCTTTTAGTAAACATATCCTCTGCAAATATTTTCTTCTGAGCTGTGACTTGTCTCTGCATTATCTTAAGAATATCTTGCAAAGAATATCAATTTTGTTTTGGTAATTCCAACTTTCCATTTTTGGTTTTATGGATCATGTTTTTGGTATCACTTCTAAGAAATCTTTGCCTAACCCTAAATCACAAAGAGCTTTCTCTATATTTTATCTAGAAGTTGTATAGTTTTGGGGTTTATTTTAGGCCTAATGATCAATTCAGAACTTTTGAATATGGTGTGAGGTATGGATTGAAGGGTTTGTTTCATTTTACGTATGGACATCCAGTTTATTACTCAGGAAAAAAGTTGTCATTTCACTTACATAATCTGCACTCTGCATTTTAAAGCAGTAATTTATTTTGACTTTTTTTCTTGATTAATTTTGGGCTGGAAAACATTTTATTAGGGATGCAGTAGGGGGAGTTCTTGTATCTCTGCAGCAGCACGAAGAGCCTGGCCGCCTCTCGGTGCCCGGCCTGCTATAGTGGGCCTAATTCGTTAGTCCACCATCAGCATATTCCAATATGGGGGCCATGGATGGACTTTTTGTAATTTTATTCAAACTAAAAATCAGATTATCTCAGGCTGTTTTAGTTTTTTAGAAGTCAGTACTTCTCAATTTTAAATAATAGTCTATTCCAGAACTATTATTTCAAATAGATCAATTGAAGAAGCAAACTGTTTGGCAGTGTTTCCCTTCTTGTTTGTTAAAACAAACAAGATATAGGAACAAATCTTGATTTTTTTTTTTTTAGCTCTTGCATGACTAATGTAAAGGAAAAAAAGTGTTTAAAACTTTATTTTTTTATGTATGCCATTCATTATTTCCCTAATCACATAAGTAAGTTAATTGTGTGAAATTTGGAAATACGGCAAAAAATTTTTAAATGACCCACTACCAACAGTTTTTAGCTCTTTGATATATTAGCTCTTTATCTTTTATGTACTGGAAATCATACTACATTTATAGTTTTATTTTCTGTTTTTTTCATTTGCCATTCTCAACACTGTAACTCATAATGGCATCATTACATCAGTATATGAATAAATGTGTCATCCATTATTTAATTACTTCCCCAATACTGGACAGATACAGCTTCTAGTTAGCTATCACGTATAAGGAACATTTGTGCTTGAATTTTATTCCATGTTCCATTATTTGATATGATTATTCTTAAAAATAAAATGAACCAAAAACCTTTTAAAGATACTGTAGGACTTCATAATTCTACCTTGTAGTATATGAGAATTTCCCTTTACATTCTACATATACCAAAAAATTTTTATCTGCCCCTACCAAAAAAGATTCTTGCTATACTATATGGGAAACCACTACTTTTAAAATGAGTTGCTGTGCACAATCTCAATTTTTAAATAACTTTTCTATTCATATAATTTATGACAGTTCAAAAAAATTGTAGTGCAAACAATTCAAGCATTTGTTCTTGCCTGTGTGGGACCCAAGTCATTGAGAAACCCCCTATTTTCTGGGCTCTGGGGGCAAATCAGTGAACATAGTAATGTGAGCTCTGCTTTTAAAGAATGTAGGGCCTAAAGAGAGATATGCAATCAACCAGATGGCAAGGAAACGCCATGTGTTCAGGTGAGGGGATACGGATGGAAGACAGGACAGGGGCTGAGTAGGGAGTCCTGGAGGTGGGATGGCCCCGGGAGTTCAGAAAGGCCACTTGTATTTTCAGCATGGTGCCTTACTGCTGGCCAGCTGCCTGGTTTTCTTTTGGAGGCAAAGGTTCATTCCGTAGATTTCACCCTAGTGAGGCTGCAACTTCCGCATCCTCCATTCAGGAGCCGGTCATCCTGAGCAAAATCACGTTTCTTCCTTTGTTTTTACTCTGCTGAGAACTGGAGTTGTAGCCATTCCACAGGCTTCCCCTAGTCGCAGATTCACAGCAAATTTGCCCAGTCCTTTTTTATTTTTGTTTGGTTGTCTTGTTCCTTCCTTTGGAGAACAATGAGAATGGACAAGGCAGAGAGCTTATTAAAAGGAATCCTTGGTGTGGAAAATAGGAAAAATAAAGAAACATTTAAAAAATGGAGAAAAATGTCACTATATCCCTTATACCTAGAAGTGATAGCTTCAGCCATTTTGGCTTTCTTAGTATCTTTTCAATATCTTGTTTTATGTATGCATTTTTAAATACAGGCCATCCATTAAAAAAATAACATTGTGTCAAAGGAATTTTCCATGTCATTGAAACACTGATATTTTAAATAGCTATATTGACCCTCTCATCATTTAAATGTAATTTATTTCCTTGATACTGTACACTTACGTATTACTGTACATTTGCATTTTTTCCAGTTATTTGCCATTGTGAATTATGTTGTAGTGAACATATTTGTTTCTTCTCTGGACATTTTCCTTAGGATAAATTCTCCAAAGTAGTTTATTCCAAAAAATGACACTGGCTTGGTGTATATGGCAGTCTTCCTTAGAGCTGGTGAGTTCTCCATTAAATTCTCGAAACATGCCACTGTGAAATGTGGCAAATATTTAATAGTTCTTTCCATATTCAGAGCCTGCATAGCAGTTAACAGGCTGACCCTTGCCTTCCAAGCGGCCACTCAGAGTGCAGGTGTAGCCTTTTTGTTCCTTCCCTCTCAGGACAGCAGTCTCTCCTAGGCAGGTCTGCCATTATGAGCTTCTTGAGAGCAAAGCCCTCGTTTTGTTTCTTCCTTTGTCCACAGCACCTCACACACCCTAAGCACTGTCACTTTCTTACCCTCCTGCAGCCCCCTGCACTGGAGGACCAGCTCAGCACTCTCCTGGCTCCAGTCATCATCTCCTCCATGACCATGCTGGAGAAGCTCTCAGACACATACACCTGCTTCTCCACAGAAAATAACAGCCAGCTGTATGTCCTTCACTTGGTGAGTAGGTGGCCCTATGGTCCATGTTCCTTATCCCCCTGTTCCCCAAATGCCTCTCCCCTGTCTTGGACTAGACTCCTATGGAAGGGAAGAACTGCACAGCATCAGAACCTCCGGGGACCCAGTCCTATCTTTATTTGTCCATGGAGATGAGGGCAGGTGGAGGGAGCTCCACAGTGCCTGGCTGATGTTGTGTGGCTGTGCCTACAGTTTGGGGAATGTCTGTTCATCGCCATCAATGGAGACCACACTGAGAGTGAGGGGGACCTCCGGCGAAAGCTGTGCGTGCTCAAGTACCTGTTCGAGGTGCACTTCGGTCTTGTTACTATGGACGGCCAGCTCATCCGAAAGGAGTGAGTACTCAAGGCCAGTCCCCCTGTGCCTTGCTGAGCACCCTCATAGGTCCGATGAGCCCGTGCCTGGCCTCACTGAAGCCACAGTTCCATACTCTGCCCCAAGTATGCCTTGGATCCAAGAAGCAGAGCTGAAAGGAGCTGTCAAACTTTTTTTTCTGAGGCTTTCGTTTTACATATGGGAAGCTGAAAGGAGAAAAGTTAACTAACTTTGCCTGGAAGTAGCTAGTTGGTTGGTGATAATATCTGGCTTAGCAGTGTGAGCTCAGTGTGATAACTTGGACCCCGGAATAAAATCCAAGGAAGCAAAAAATTAAAATTTAGGGAGCAAAGGCTTTATTTTAGGCCAGGCCCAGTGACACAGTCTCCAGGAGCCAATTTGGAGACTGCATGCCTGACAGCTAAAAGTCAGGGCTTTTATCTTGTAAAATCGCAAACAGCTGCTGGTCTCACAATGCAAGGAGGGGGATGCGGGTGTGGCGCACTACAGAATAGGAACACATCGAGATTACATTCCTTGGGAAGAGCAAGATCAGGTAAGGGTTGTGCTACCAAGCAAGTTTAGATTAGGCAGAAATCCTGTTTTCCTCAGCAGAGAATAGAAGTCTAGCAGTAATTAACAACTCCTGTTAGCTTATCTTAGCGCCACATCTGTTATTTGTAGAGGGCAACAATGGTTAACATATCAATTAGGTAAGATTTTACAATTCTTTACAGAGGAGAGCATTGATTAACATATCAATTAGGTCATCCAGAGGGAGAAGGAAAACATATATACGGTATGGGTATGGCCGGGTTACAGGTTTTGCTAAAATAATGAATTTATTTTCCTAGAGTACAACACTCAGCATCCCCATTATGCAGTCAGTTCACTACCAACCTCGTCCATCATCACCAGCCAGGTCTGAGCCATCTTCCCTGGCTCTGCAGAGCTGCTCCAGACTCTCCCATTGGAGAAGCACATTCCCATGCATACACACTCTGGTGGCACTTTCTGAAGGGCAGGGCCCCATAACGAAATCCTGAGCAAAGCAACATAAGCAAGCACCCATATTGAGGTACTTACTCAGACTCTACAGGCATCACGTCGTGGGTTGTTTTAGCTGTCACAGTGTTGGGGATTACATGCTGTGGGCCCCTTACACAAACCGTGTATATCCATCCAGGTCTATCAGTATTGGAGAGGGCTGTGCCCCTGTGTTTAGCCCTGATAATAGGCCAGTGTTGTCTCTTTTTAGGGATCTGTGGAGGACATCAGAGGCATAGAAAATGCACAAACCTTCCTGGCTCCTTGGATCTGGCTTTCATATGTCTGTCTAAGGGCTGAGGAATGGAGTTGTTTGGTCAGTGGCTTCACTCCTGCTTCCTGCCAGTGCTGCTGTACCAGGACACACATGAAACACAGTCCCTTTCTGCTCTACACTCCCCCCACAGATACACAGTCACATTTTCTGAGCTCTGTGGCTAAGATACAGGTCTGGGATAAAATCCGTGGGTTGGTTGGAAGTAACCAGCTTTCTCATGTGCCCCTGTTATGTTTCTGCCTCAGGCTGAGGCCCCCAGACCTGGACCAGAGAACACAGGTGTGGGCTCACTTCCAGAGCCTGCTGTGGACCTACAGCCGCCTGCGGGAGGAAGAGCAAAGCTTTGCTGTAGAGGTGACTATGGGGCACTGAGGTGGGTTAGGAGGGGCACCAGCCAGCTTGAAGACCATGTTTTGACCTCACTAAAAATTGCAGAAGTGTCTGAAGATAGCGCTTTTAAGCTTGCCTCCAACTTCCCCCAAAAAGATGTAGTGAACTGAAACCAGGGTAGAAAGTAGTGAACAAAAGCAGTACTAGAGGCAGCATTACCCTGAGTGCAGTGATACCCCCACTGCAGCCCCAAACAGTCCTCAGCCAGCAGCACTATCAGGAGCTAACCCCCCTCCCATGTTACCCTGGGGTGATGAGCTGGAGTGGCCTTAGCAGTAACACCACCAGAGCCCATGTGGGACGGGCTCAACTTCTCTTTGTGTAGCCGTGGATCTCACTTACCAGTGCCCGCAGGGCTTGTTAAGCACAAGTTGTTGGGCCTCACGTTCAGAGTTTCTCATTCTGTGGGTCTAAGGTCAGGGCTCTAGAATCTGCATTTCTAATGGATTCTCAGATGATGCTGAAGTTGCCAATCCAAGAGTCACACTTTGAAAGCCACTGCTTTAGAGAACAGACTAATCTGAAAAAGAAATGAGCTCACAATTAAGTCAAGTCTTACCCCTGAACACCCCTACTTCTTTCAAGTACGAACTTCTTTGATTTTTTTTTTTTTTTTTTATTTAAGAGGAAAAAGAGAAAAACACAAAACAAACCAAAGCGGCGTAAGGGTACACGCAATACAGAACTACAAAACAAAACAAAACAAAACAAAAAAACATAACAGTAAGAAATCACCTGCTAGTAGATTACACACTATCTTCTTGAAAATAGTTCCTCAAATCAGCATATGCGTTTTGAAGGAGGAGAAGGAAAAGGAGAAGAGGACAGAGAAAGGGGAAGAAGAGAAAAAAGGAAAGAAAGGAAGGGGTGGAGAACAGGAAGAGGAAGAATGAGAAGGAAGAAAAAGAAGTTATATACACAAGAAAATAAGCCACAATAGGTGAAAATCAGGGGAAGTCAGAAAATCAGTGACCAACTTCAGTAAACGCGGGGTACCCGTTATGTAATGAGGTGCCCCAGGCTCTGCTGAATAAAGACACCAACTTTGCCCTTGACAGAACTCGGCAACATGTGAATACTAACAATGCAATAAAGTGTTCTCCTTGTCACACTAGGTTTCACATTCAAAATCCACGGCAGCCAAAGCATGAAGTATCAGGAAAGGCTTCTTGTAGGAAGTGACCTAATGCAGTTAGGCCAAACCGAGGCTCCTCCCCAAGCCCACTAGGCCCTGTGTGACCTGTTGCTGCCTGTCTTGCCCAGCCTCATCTCAAGTCTCTCTTGTTCTCACACTTGTGCATTGCTCATATGGGATTCCTTTCAGTTTCAGAAAAACTGTATGTCTGGCTTTGCCCAATATGTAAGTCATTCGCTGCATGTGGCTTTTGAATATTTGAAATGTAGGTAGTCCAAATTAAGTTATGCTGTACATGTAATATATACCAAGTTTTTATGATTTAGAAAAAAAAAGAATGTAAAATATCAGATCAATAATGTTTTATATGTTGCTAATATTTTAGGTATATTAGACAAAAAAAATATTAAAATTTCCCCCATTTCTTTTTACTAAAAATTACTAAACTATGCATAGGATTCACACTCTGCATTTTAAACTACAATGCTCTAAACTATACAACTCAGGGCCTTTGCACGTGATCTTCCTAGGCTTGCTATGTTCTTCCTCTCCTCTTTCTTTGGCAGACTTTCCAGTTCCTTAGATACCAGTTTAAGGCTCATCTCGGGGACATTCCTTGAACATCCTACCCAAGTAGGTCTCTGCTGTTTTTCTCTAGTACTGTATGTTTCTTACAGAGCACATATCATGGTTGTCTTAAATACTGTCTGCCTTGTCCACTAGAGTCTGCTGAACAGGTAAGCACAGGCAGGCTGAGACCATACCAGTCATGGTCTCTGTACTCCGGAATACCTGACACCCAATGTGAGCTCGGGATAGACAGAGTGAATGTGCTCACCAACTCAGGGCTGCAGCCGGAGAAGCTGCTGGGTAACATGGCTTCCTCCCCTGACCAGGCCATGGAGCGGCTGATCCACCCCCAGCTCTGTGAGCTGTGTATAGAGACACTGGAGCGGCATGTGGTCCAGGCCATCAACTCCAGTCCCCTACGGGGCAGTGAAGAGGTCCTGCATGCCTTCCTGCTTGTGCACTCCAAGCTGCTGGCCTTCTACTCCAGGTGAGCTGAGCCCCAGCCTCCCACCTGCACTGTTCATACTCCTGCTACCTGGAAATATGGTCTCCTGGTCCACGAACCCCCTTTATTCCACACGGCATTCCCACACTTGACTTCCACACTTCCAGCCCTGCTGTCTGAGGCGCTTCCTTCCAGAGCACTTCATAGAGTCCACATTAATTTGTGCCCTTTCTGGTCTGGGGCTTCCCCATTGGTGTTTTGGTTTTACTTAGTAATTTAATTATTGTTAAATTGATGTTAATTTTATTTACCCCTATCTCCAGGAGAGATCAAGTTAGCCAGAAACTGATGCACTGCTCGAGGGCAGCACTGGGCCTCAGGCAATGCTGACAGTTGCCCTGCTCCTATCTCCACAGCCACACCGCGAGCTCCCTGCGCCCAGCTGACCTCCTGGCTCTCATCCTCCTGGTTCAGGATCTCCACCCCAGCAAGAGCACAGTGGAGGAGGATGACGATGCCCAGGTGTCAGGGAAGCAGAGGGCCATTGGGGTGGTGGCTAGAAAAACCTGCTTGGACAGTGGTGGGCAGGCCCTGGGGGCTGTGCTTGCCTTGGGACAATCTAGGCAAGTGGATGGCTATGCTGTTTTCCGGTGGAAACCCAGCTTCTCCCTTTAACCATGTAAGCTGGGATTCACTTATTTTGCAGTGAGAATAATGGTAGGGATACCTTCGCAGTGGTGCTATGAGGGATAAAGGAGAAAAGCCACATAATGCCCAGCAGTGCCTGGGCAGAGTGAAGACTCAGTGCTAGCCAATCTGTGGGCATCATTGTCATCATCAGTGGTAGGGAGGTGCTGGTTTAAAATGCATTGGGTTTCTGGAATTCCATTAACCACCTAGAATTGAAAGCTCCCTTGGAAAGTCTGAGGACTGTACACCTAGGCCAGCACATGGCTTAGGTTGGAGGGGCAAAGGGCTTCTCTGGGAAGTGCTGGGAGGCATATGTGGGTGGAGAAATGCCAGCCTGGATGTACGTTAACCAGTGTCTTCCCTGTCCTCAAAGCCTCCCCCCCAGAGAAGGCCCCGGAGCAGCCAGAACATCCCCGTACAGCAGCCCCGGAGTCCGTGCACCTCAGGCTTTGCTAAAGACAGCTCTTCGGGGACGGTGTGTGCCACATGATGTGTGAAGGACAGGGTGGATCTGCCTTACCATATTGCCAGCCTTCTCCTAGGAGAAGGGGCCTGCACCGCTTGAAAGCAACTCACCTGACCCTTGGTCCTTGATCTGAGCTGCCGCTTTTCCCAGCAGGACACAGACAGCTTCTCCCTCCCTGAGGAGTACTTCACACCAGCTCCTTCCCCCGGGGAGCGGAGCTCAGGTGAGGCCTGGGAACAGAGCAGCAGTGGCAGGATGGGGGTAAGGAAGAGGGGAGTGTCAACATGTAGCCAAGGAGATGGATTCCCAGGCACCTCATAAGGGCCAAGCAGGGTGCTTAGACTCCTGTGGCCCAAGGTGCTCTCTGTGGCACTGTCTTCTCTGCCAGTTCCAGCATGAGTTCAGAGATTCCTAGGACTACTCAAATGATCCATAAAACCTTCTGTGACAAGTTGGTTTCTTTTTAAAATTCATCTTTATGTATATTCTCAACCTTAAACTAAAATTGAACAGTAATTATTTGATTTCGTGTATATTCAACCTCTGTACCTTAACCTGTTTTTCCAGTGTGTGTTAATAGACAATAAAAATGAGTTATTCGTAACAAAATTGCTTAGAGAGGAAAGTAAGCCAAAATCCACACCATGATCATCTCCATGAGTACACATATGTATCTCTGGAGTTCTTAGAATAAAAAAAGGGTGCTGTTGGCTCACACCATCTGAGAGAAGAAAGGAAGCCAAAGTTACAGAAGGAGAAGCTTGTTGGGGATGGTTTTGATAGGTGTTTTATCAGGTGGCTTCCGTAAAAAGTGGCCTTAGGCCTGGCTGGGCTCCTGGGACACTCACCTGAGGCACTCACCTTTAGGGCTGTCCTCCCAGGGCACCCACCTAGGGCCCAGGTGAGTCCCGTGTATCTGGAGTGGAAGCCACTGTTGTGTGAAGAGTCCTCACCCAGCTGCATTTGGACCCAACCTGGAGTTCTCTAAAAACTATTAAAGCTGAGCTTGTGCCCTAAGATTCTAATTTAATTGTTTGGAATTGTGGCCTGGGCAGCAAGATTTTTTTCAAAAGCTCCCAAATGGTCTTGTTAAACTAAGGTCGAATGCCATGGGGTTCTTAGCGTTAGGTTCTTGGGCCAGCTCCAAGGAGCCTGGAAGTCCTGGATTGTGTTCCAGCTCATATCTTTGTGTCTTTACCTGGAGGAGGTCCACGGCCATCTGCAGATTCTCTGAGTTCTCCCTGAGCTCCAGCACCAGGAGTAGCACAGCTTGTGTACAAGTGCGGCAGCTCCTTCCTGCCCCTTCCTTTCCTCATTCATGGAAAGCTTTCTGCTTTATATAAATAATGTTCCACTGTGCAGAGACCTCATAGTTTAGAAATGGCTTCTTGAGTCACAGTGATCCCTGTGTGTGTGTGTGTGTGTGGTACTGGGGGGTTTTATTGCACTAGGGTCCCCATCTTGTTTTTATTCTTTATTTGAGACAGGGTGTCAAGCACTAATCCATTTCTAAATCAGGTTTTTAAAATTTGGGAACTCGCTTTCCTCAGAGAAATTTGATTATAAATAAGAGTTACTTGCAATGAAATTTAAGAGAGAATATTATTATTATAAACATATAATATCTCAAAAAATTAGTGGGCTCAGTAGTTTTCTGTGAACTAGGAAAGAAGTCAAGCTCAATCCTTTTCAGAGTAGGTCCTAGTAAAAGTGATGATTGCATAACTGAACAAGGAATTTAGACTCTGTGTGTGCTAGCTCCTAAGGAGGGAACCTGAAGGAATGGAGGGCAGAGACAAGGATTGAATGAAAGGAGTTAAAGGGGGAGTCTGCGGGAGACGCACCCTTTGCCAAGCACATGCTCAAGGCTCCATTCCCTTCTGTAGCTGGCTCTGTGTGAAGCTTGGCTCCTCTAGGCCCAAACCATTTAGCCCTGGTACCGCAGCGCTTCCCTTGTGCACACTAGCTTTGGAGAGGATGGCTAGGGCTGCAGCTCCAGTGAGGCACCTCTGTCCCCACCTGGTGCTCTAGCTGAGCTACTGATGGCAGCTTCTGCTTCCTCTGCCATGCTATTGGGCCATTGTTTACATTCTCATGGTGTTTATGTTGCCATATTTTCATTTGTGTTTACAGGTAGCACCATTTGGCTGGAAGTAGCACCATCTGATGTTCCACAGGTGTTTATGTTGCCATATTTTCATTTGTGTTTACAGGTAGCACCATTTGGCTGGAAGTAGCACCATCTGATGTTCCACAGGTAACTATCCAGGATCTGCTGGCACTGTAGATGTTGGGGAGGTGCTGGGATTACGTGACCCTCCCAGGCTGCTCTCCATCAGTGCTGCCCTCCACCTGCCCATCTCAGGGGTGGTTGGTACCGAGCTCAGGAACAGGCTGGGCCTAGGGAGGCTTATAAGACAGGGAGTGAGAGTGGCTGTCCCATCAGGCCCTGGCCCTCCACATCTTATGAACTCCTACCCTCCTTGCACTCTGGGAAGTCAGAGTCCAACTTATACAAACATATTTACTGTAGAAAAATGAAAAATACAGAAGTATAGAAAGGAAAATAAAGTCACTCTTAGTCTTGTCCTCAAAGTGAAATTAACGTTTTTGGATGTTTCCTTCTGTTCTTTTTTTCTATGACTTTACCCACACCCCACATGCACATACTGTGTATCTAGGCACACATACTATATTCTTTGCTTTTATCATGTTTGGGATTCTAATGTACTTCATTATATTGTTTTACTTAAACATTTCCACTTATGAAGTTCTCTTCAACTGTGTGGGTTTTAAGCATTGTTCAAGAGACCATCCATGCGTATGTTATTTATTTAGCAAATCCTCAGAACATGTAGTATTTTCCAGTTTTGCTTGTATATTGTGTATAAGTGGAATCATATCCTTATAGAGAAATTTTTGTAGCATCTCTAATTATTTCCTTAGTTCTCTATTTTTTCCCATTAAATGCTTTGCTTCTCAGAACCCACACTTATGCTGGAGTCTTGTTCAGTCTTAGTTGTTTTCTATCTCAGTTTCTCCAATTTAGGGCCACTAACCTGACAGGCATACCGAGAGGAAATACCTTCCTCTCACTGAAGGCAGGGCAGGGAGCCTCTCCCCTACCCCACTGTCTGATGTCCTGCCTTCTCTGTCCCTTCTGGGCCACCCACTCACCTCCTGTGCCACTTTCCCACTGCCCTGCCTGTGACTCAGTCGTGACTGGGCAGAAAGGCCCAGAGGAAGCTGTGGGACTGTGGGTGCCAGGACAGTTTCAACAGATGGCAAGGATCTAAGAACTGGAATTCCTCTGAGCTGAACACATACACTCCCCATGATTCCTGGGTAGGGCAGAGAATGGACAGTTGTGTATCGATATAACTTGGGCTGGAGGCCATATGTCTCTTGCCTCCTTGCCCTCTGCAATGATGGTTCTTTCTCCTCCACAGGTAGCTGAGGACACGCTCCAGGTGCTGGCTCCTCCTTCCCTAGTGCCTTCCAGTCCCAGGAGGATCTTCCTGGACGCCAGTGTAAAGGACAACTATTGCCCTTTGGTGCCTCACACAATGTACTGCCTGCCACTGTGGCCAGGCATCAACATGGTGCTCCTGACCAAGGTATAGAGCCCTTCTTCCTGCCCGAGTGGTGCTCAGGGCCTAGACAGTGCCTGTCCATTCCATCAGCCCTCTCCTCTTTCCTGCAGAGCTCTAGCACCCCACTGGCCCTGGTTCTGTACCAGCTACTGGATGGCTTTTCTCTTCTGGAGAAGAAGCTGAAGGAGGGCCAGGGGGCTGGGAGTGCCCTGCGGTCCCAGCCTCTCATGGGAGACCTGCGCCAGAGGATGGACAAGTTTGTCAAGAATCGAGGTGGTCAGGAGATTCAGGTGGGGCCCAGGCTGTGGGCCAGTCTGCCTAGCAGATGAGAAGCCAGCAGTTCTGGTTCCTGTCCCTGCTTCCCACAGATTTGTGATTCTTGTTCTCCTCATTATGAAAAGATAACAAAAAATGAACAGCTTCGATCCAAGTTTCAGAACATGTTATGTGAGTTCAGTAGGACACAAATTGTCTCATTTTTTAGGGGAAGGAACTAAGGCTTGGATAGGTTGTAACTTACTGAGGATTGGCTGGCTTATTCATGGGCAGCAGAGCCAAAGCCTGCATGCAGTGATACATTAAAGACCAGTGATCTGCACATTATGGGGCATCTTCCCTGCAGTGTGACCTGTGTCACCTGGGCACCAGGGGCAGCAGACAGAAGTGCAGGACGCATAGATCTGGGTTAGGAGCTAAGAGTTAGAGCCCGGATGGTCTATAAACATTGAGGACAGTGTACCCTGACAGACCAGGCCTAGGAGCAGACAGGAGGAGGAACAGTCAGTGAACTTGGCATCTGGGGCCATGTGCAGCTGGCCGTGCCTGGGTCTGAGGAGCTGGGATTCACTGGCAGTGATGCCTGTTGATCTGGAAAGGAGCAGAAAGGATCAGAGGAGGCCCAGAAGTGGCTGGTGCTCCAGATAATCTCCTGTCTGGAAGAAGTCAGCAGCAGTGCAGCAGTGGCTTGGTAGAATGCTAAGTTCTCGTGCTTCAGGGAGAGACACCTGCGGTCTCCAGCAAGACCTCTCCATGCCATCCCTGGGGCACCTGCAGCAGTGACTCCTTCTCACCACCCCTAGCCTTGTGTGCCCACCCCTTGAGGGGCTTGCTTTGTTGTCTGATGATGTTAAGTGCGCATGGCTGTGCCCATCAGGCTGGAAGCACCACACTTGACCCAGAAATTACTGCTTAAACATCTGCTAAGGGAACAGAATATGGTGGCCTGAAGTACACAGAGGACTGGCAGAGGGCCACTGGCAAAGCTCACTTTGGCCAGAGGAGGGGATGGTCCTCTGGATCCTGGTGCTCCCTACAGCCCAACTTGGGTAAGGCTCCCTGAAACCTCACTGTGAAAACATGGTCTTGAAAGTAACTATCACCCTCCTTCCAGAACACCTGGCTGGAGTTTAAGACCAAGGCCTTTTCCAGAACTGAACCAGGATCAGAGTGAGTAGTGGCCCCCAAAGACAAGGGAAGTCCTTAAGATAGGACATATATTCTCCAGAGACCACAAATCCCTGCAGGCTCCAAGAGAGAAGTTCAGGAAGGAGCCAGTTCCTAGCAGACTCCTAGGGAAAGCTCTGGCAAGCCCACAGGCTGCAGGGACAGAGCTGGGAGTGGGGATGGGGTGTGAGGGCCCTTGGCATCCGAACAGCCCAGCTGCAATTGCAGTGCTGACTGGGTGCTGCCTCCAACAGTCATTGCATGCAATTATTAGCAAGACGCTGTGATTGGCAGAGTTGCCTAGAGCCAGGTGCCATGTTGGGAAGAGCTAGGAAGCTGCCTCCTGGCCCCTGAAGAGGTGTATTGTGCTTGATTGGCATGGCCATACGGGGCAGGAACAGTCTTTCCTGCTGCGATGGCATCACCTCCTGGTTTCCAGGTTACTCCAGGTATGTGGGAAGCTGAAGCGGCAGCTCTGTGCCATCTACCGGCTCAGCTTCCTGAGCACCGCACCTAGCAGGGGAGGCCCGCACCTGCCACAGCTCCTGCAGGACCGTGCCCAGAGGCTCATGCGGTAAGTATGGACGGTTCCTGACGGAGCACGAGCAGGAGGGACGTGGGGCCCTCGCAGCTGCTGTAGTTTCCTGTTCCTCTTGGCAGAGAAAGGCTGCTGGACTGGAAGGACTTCGTGTTGGTCAAGAGCAGGAGGAACAACACCATGGTGTCATATCCTGCTGCCTGGTTCAGCCCCCCAGGAAAACCTTGTGGCCAGGACTCCAAGCTCTGGGGGAGGAAACAGACATTTTCTGCCACCCTAGTTCCTTTCTCGGAAGAAAATTGAGGATAGTGTCCTATGTCCCTCATCTATAGGAACATTCTAAGGCCAAAGTTCCAAAAATTCCTCTGTCCCAAAGTTAACACATAACAGCTCTAAATATCCTTCATGTCAGTGCTGTCCAGCCAGCAAAATGGTAATAGGTCCTGGAGGAAGGTCAGGGGTTCCGGGGATCTGACTGGTTCAGGAGGCCCATGCCATCTTCCTTGGATTGGGAGAGTACCCTGTTGCGTGTGAAGGCTCTGACCTGGCCCGCAGTAAGGATGTATCCCTACTTAAAGAATCATTTCCAAGACTTATTTGACCCTAGTATTATGAAACACTAGTTTTATTGAGTACATATGTGCTTGGGATTCCAGGCTACCTGTAAAAGCTCCAAAGTATCAGGCCTTAGTCTCTAGCACCTTTGGTCTTCAGGAGACAGGTGAGAGGGTGCCAGGGAACTCTCCTCCACCAGCCACTGCCCTTCCAGAGCAGTACTCTCCATGGTCCCTGGCTTTCCAGGTTTCTTAACTCAGGCTGTTACCTACCTGGAGGACTTCCCAGGCTTGGTTCATTTCATCTATGTGGATCGCACAACGGGACAGATGGTGGCTCCTTCTCTCAGCAGCAGTAAAAAGACATCATCAGAGTTGGGCAAGGGGCCCCTGGCTGCCTTTGTGAAGGCCAAGGTAACTCTTCCTCTGGCCGTGGCTCTTTTCCTTGCTCATGGGTACGGTATACTGAGGCCTGGCCCCCACTCAGGAAGGATAGGCCCGTGGCCTTCTGTACTCTGGCCTGGCCTGTGGAACTGATTGCCCCAAGCCTGCACCTTACTGCACTCAGCTGTCAGTGTCAGCATGCCCTGTCAGGCCTGCTGTGCCTTGGACGTGAGGGTCCAGGACCCAGGTGTAGGGGGGCCTTTGGTCCATATGGAGCAGCAACTGCTGCCATGATCAGATATACCTGGTGTTGGCAAATGGCCCAGTGCCTAGCATAAGTAAATGCTTGGCAGTTATGTGTGGAAAGAGCGGCAGCGGCAGTCATTTGGGCATCAGAACTTTGTTTGTTTGTTTGTTTGTTGATACCAGGAATGGAGCCCAGAGCCTCCCCACATGCTCGGCAGTACTTTGCTACTGAGCTATATAGCCTGAGCCCTATCAGAATTTAAAGCTAGATGATTTCTACTGAGGAAACACTCCCTGGGAGTTCTTTTCTTCTCCTAATTTGCCTCTTTTTCATTGGTAATTTGTATGTTTTTGTATGGGGAAGGTAAACTGCTTCCTTCGTTCCTCCCTTTCTTTTCTCCTTTTGTAGCACTCGGTATTGAATCCAGGACCTTTGCACCTTACCCCCTGTCCCCATTTTATTATTTTACTTATTTTTGAGGCAGGGTCTCAAAAATAAGTTACCAAGGCTGGGCCTGAACTTGTAATCCTCCTGCCTCAGACTCACAGAGTGCTAGGACTCAGGCATGTGCTACCACGGCTGGCTTTGCCAAACTATGTTTTTTCTTCAAAAAACAGTCTATCGTAAAGATTCAGATAAGCTGGGTCAGGGAAGGCTTGTGTTGGAAAGCCGTTTAGATTTGCCTCTCACTAGCTGTGTTTCTGTTTCCTCAGCAAAGGAAACAGTGATACCGCTTTATCATGCGTCACGTTACTGTTATAAAGGGGATGAGGTGCTGCAGGTAAAATACTCAGCACAGTTGTATGGCACCAAGTGCGGATGCAGTGCATAGAACACGTGTGCCCATGTCACAGCTGACTTGATCCTTCCCTGTGACAACGGTCGGGTTCTCTGACACACTGCTTTTTCTTGTTTGTGCAGTTTGTTGCACTCAAGTGCATTCTGTGTACAGTCATGTTGGTCAGTTTCACCTCACACTCCTCACGCCAGTAAATCTTCCAATACATGATTTTTGGCAACTCTCTAATAGTCCATCATGGGACTGTGACATAATTCACATAACTATTTCCCTAGTGTTTGAATCTTTAGGTTTATCTCTGTGCTTTTGTTGTTTAAATAATCGTTCAGCACACACCTTTTGTGCATACATACCAGAGTTCTCATCTCTGATTATTCTTCAATAGAGATTCCAAGAAATGGAATTACTAAGTCAATGGGAGGAGTATTTTTTTAGGTTATTAATGCATGTTATCAAGTTGCTTTCCTCTAAAATATAGACAACCCATATATCTGTGTCCAAATTTAATTAGAAAATTGTGATTTGGTATGGAATGAATTTCACATCCATTCTACTAGGGCTTTTAGTGAGAGTGCTCACAAGATCTTTTCCCAGCCCTAATGTAAGGGGAGAGCTGAGCCTGACTGCTGAGCCTGGGGCATCTCTCACACAGCCTTGGTTACGGCCCTGCTTAATTAGGACAGCATCCCCAGGAGACAGGTCCCTCAGGTCCACCCACAGAGGAGAGGACATGTCTGGCTCTGGGTGTCTGTATTCCAACAGGCTTCCTAGCTCCTGGTGTGGACAGTGTGTTACAGCCCAACCCTCAGGAGAGGGGTGTGCAGGGCCTGTGCAGGGGGCCTTTCTGGGTATCCACACCTTGATCTCCTATCACCACATTCATTCAGAGTGTCCTTGGCTGTTTTCTAGCCTGAAAGATCAGTTTATTAATTTGGACTTGTATAAAGTACAGTTCTATATTTTATCCCTACACCAGCTAGAGGTGGACCCCATCCATCCATTCCTGCATCTCTTCTGAGAGTGTTTCAGCCCAGCGCTTTGCTTCCTTCCTTTCTTCTTTTGGGGGTCTGAGGGGCTGCCTGGTGGGCCATGCAGGGTGGCTAAGCACTGTCCCCTTCCCCAGGTCTGGGCTCTGATCCATTTGGCACGCAGGTACCTGCAAAAGGGCTGTACCACACTGCTATCCCATGATGGGGACTTCTGCTGCTCCTATTTCCTGTGGTTCGAGAATGACATGGTAGGTTTGCCAGTTCCCTGGGCAGGCTGGTCCCGAGGTACCTTAGGTTCCCTTTTTCTAAACAGTGTTTAGTCTGTCTGTCTGTTACCTGATGTAACAACAGGTAAGTACAGTGGCTGGGACCCACAATATAGGTCACATTGTCACTCTGGCATCTAACTTTGTGATCCCTCCACCCAATGCCTGGAAGACTTGTGCCATAGTTCAGGCAGTAAACAAGAACAATGGATGGTAAGATCACACCTCAGGCAGGGACTGGGTCACTAGTGCTTCAGTGTCTTCCTCTTGCCCAGCACCGAACACACCATACCACCATGGCAGGGCTCATCCCAGTTCATCTCCCTCAGCCACACCCACTGCCTCCCTGTTCTCAAGACCTTTCCTTCCATAGGGCTACAAACTCCAGATGATTGAGGTGCCTGTCCTGTCTGACGACTCAGTCCCCATTGGTGTGCTGGGAGGTGACTATTACAGGTGATTTTGACTGCGGGTATGGGGGCCTCCTGGTGTGGGGCAGATCCTCCAGGAATCCCCCACCCAAAAGTTAGAAGCACAGGCTGGGGCCTCTCACAGGCTGACCTAGACACCATGGGGTCAGAAACCTCCTGGAGAGGGCATCTATGTCCTGCCTGTGGTTGGGGAGATGTCTATGCGGGCCCAGAACTTCCCCTTATCTGGGATGCTCAGCCACGTGAAGATTAAGCCCTAAGAGAGGAACTGTGGCCCAGGGCTAAGCCCAGAGTAGGTCATCAGAAACAGGAGACGATGTTCCCAGTCCAGGAGCTATGGCTCAGTGAGAGGAAGAAGAGATGAGTGCTTGATTGCTGGCCAGGACAGGGCCCTGGCTTGGGAGGATTGCCATGGCCGTGCTCCTGAGTTCCACCCTCGCATTCTCCCCAGGAAGCTCCTGCGCTACTACAGCAAGAGCCACCCAACCGAGGCTGTCAGGTGCTATGAGCTGCTGACTTTGCACCTGTCGGTCATCCCCACTGACCTGCTGGTGCAGCAGGCCAGCCAGCTGGCCCGGCGCCTAGGAGAGGCCTCCCGGTTGCCTCTGCCCTAGGCTGGACTGCACTGCCCAGCGCAGTAGGCTTCTGTGCCAGTTCTTCAGCCACCCCACTAACAGATGTTCCCTATGCAAAAGTTTCCTCCCTCTTGTCCCCAGCAGCCTCCTGAGGATACACACAGCTCTCAGAGCAGCTCCAGGGTTTCTTGAATCAATCCTACCTGGACCGCCCCCAAGTGTGATGACAGGCCCCTAGTCCACCTCTGTACGGAAGGAAGGTCATGGGCTTCCTGCTTACAGCAACCACGGCTGTGAGGTCCTCACAGCTGTGAGATGGCAGTAGCTCCTCTTTCAGAGCTACTTCTGTTCCCAGGAGAGAAGGAAATGCCCAGAACTCAGGCTGCCTGAAGACACACACCCCACCCCTCCCCAATGCTGTGCTGCAAGGAGTGATTTTTTTTTCCTACTCCAGATAAAGGGTGCTCTGTTGGCTGCCCTGACCCTTAGCTCGCCTGCCTCCCCCTGCTACTTGTGCAGCTGTGGTCTTTTCTTACAATGCTAGGCCCGTTTTTCTGTATTTAAAATGTGGACACCTACCTCTCATAGTGGCAGGGAGGATTAGCGAACACTGATATATACTCAATAAATGTTGGATATTGTCCTCATCCAAACCTAAAGTGCCTGTGCTTCTGGTCCTTTTGTTGCTGCTGAGAAGTCCCTCTGAGCCTGCTAGGTTCCAGTCCCTCCAAGCCTGCTCACTCTAGGCTGCCCAGCAATTCAGCCTTCCTTGGTCAGTATGTACCCAGGATTAAGACCACTTTGGAGGGCTCCAACCCCTTTCTTCTAACGAAATGGTTCTTACCCTGGGATGGAAACAAGGACAGAGTCTGTAAGAGTGCTGGGACACAAGGGTGTCCACTTCTCTTGGGCAAAGAGGTGGTGCCAGGGTGGTGAGAAGAGGTGCAGCAGGAATACACAGCTACTGCAGAAAGCGATGATGCCCCAAATTGTGTGTGGGCAGCCAGCCTTCTGTGTCTGTCTTGGACTGGAACTGAGGCAAGGACTGGTCTTTCCCTTGCAGGGGTCAGGTTTGGAGGGAACAGAGGTGCTAAGTAAGAGCTCCTTAGAAGGTAGCAATGAGGAGCAACGTCAACAGAGATGACAGATCTGTGTTCCTTTTTGATAGCAGGATTTTATAGGTAGCAGTTAAAAATACTGAGTGTGGGGGCTAGGGATTTAGCTCAGTGGTGAAAGCACCTGCCTGGCAAGCGCAGTCATGAGTTTGATTCCCAGTACCAAAAGAAAAAAAATAGTGTGAAAAGCACAAAGGAAAAATAATTCCTGTAAGCCCCTCTCCCCAACTGTTCAGGACATGTATTTTTTTTTAACTAATGTCTTAATTTTTAGCACCTATGATGTGAGGTATCTGGTTTAATGCAGCTCCTTGATTCTGTACAATCATCCTCGCTATCTGTGACAGCTTGGGTCCAAGACCTGCTGTGGTCATTCCTTCCACCTGGGCTGCCTGTGAATATGGGGCTGCCGCCACCTGCAGGAGGACAGGGAGCCAGAGTGGAATCTGCCTTGGCTGTCCTCCCACTCTGAGGATTCCCGCATGTACCTTTAATAAGGGAGCGGAAGGGTGACTGGCCTGGCCCTGGCTCCACCCTTCCAAACTTGTCTGCTGAGCCTTGAGCCCCTGGGCTGGCATGCAGGAGCCCTAGGGGTGGTGGACCTTCCTCTCCTGCCTCTGGAGGAACCTTCCTCCCTGGACCTGTGTCGCCCGGCCGAGAGCCCACAGCTCCTCCCACTTCCCCTGGCCAGCCCCTCCCCTGCCTGGCTGCTGCTGCTGATCAAGCAGGCCTGCCTGCCAAGCTGATTGCAAGCAGGTTCCTAGAGGCAAAAATGGCTGCCAGCTGCCGAGGTCTCAGTAGGGTAGTGGGAGTCTCTCCTGGCCCTGCTGTGAGAAGAGTCCACTCAGGAGCTGGGGGACACGTGAAGGCTGAGTACGATGCGGTAGTGATAGGAGCAGGTAAAGCAGAAGAGCCTCAGCTGAGGTCGGTCAGGCAGCCCGGCGCCAAGGCCCCGGGGGAGGGGGTGTTTACTGAGCCCCATTGCCTCCTCTGCTCAGGGCACAGCCTGGCCAGAAGTTTGGGGCACAGATGAAGGCCCTCTGGTGTGGGAGTCAGGATCCTGCAGTTCCCATGCCAGCTTGATGTGTCAGAGGGAAGACACCTGCCCTCCGGTCATAAGCCTTGCCATCTAGAATGAAAGAGCGAGCTCAGGGGCTTCCCTGTGTCTCCTGCAAAATGAGCAAAATCATAAAGATGACCAGAGTCTTAAAGACAGGAAAAAGTGGAACCAAGTCCTAGAGATCCTACAATATCCCCACAGAGGGGAATGACTTGGTTGCCTTCCCTCAGAATGAGGGGTCAGCTGCACTGGTCCTGCAACATTTTGCTGTCTTCTTGGTTAAAAATATCCAAGTTTTCTGAGTGAGTGAGTGAGGTGCCCCTCCAGACCCCCCTCTGCAGGCCTGGAGAAGGCGTTATTTCCAACAGAGCCCAGAACCAGTAGCAGGCCTGAAAGACCTTGCTGAAGTTAACATAGCTCCAGAGTTAATGTTCTGGTTTGGCATCTGCATTCTCGTGGACTAAAAGCAGGGAGCTGCTGAATGTCTTCACTGAAGTGAAGACATGTAGTGCATAAGGTTCTTCGGTTTTGTTTTGTTTTGTCTTCAACATTGGGAATGAAACCCAGGGGCTTTCTGCCACTGAGTGTAGCATATGGTTTTACAAATCAGATATGTAATGCTCTTAATTTAAATTTCAGGGGGCCATTTGAATCTTTTTCCCCCATGCTGGAGATTGAATCCCAGGGTCTTGTGTATGTTGCCACTGTGCTACAGCCCTTTGGTTTGGTTTTGTTTTTATTTTGTTTTGAAGTAGGGTGTTGTTAAGGAGCCCGGTTTGGCCTCAAGTATATGATCCTCCTGCTGTGGCCTCCTGAGTGGCTTGATTGCAGGCATACGTCGCGACAAGGGCTTGTCAGGTGATTTTTAACAGAATATTCCTTCATTTTGCCAAATTCACATAGCCAGCCTACCACTGCCACTCATCAGTGGATGTTGTTCCGAAAGGAATGCTTGATGTTTTCATTTACTTGAAGGAGTACAGCAGACGTGGAAAAGTGAAACTGAAGGTTTCTATCTCAACGCTATTCCTTCTTCAGTGATAAGAATGACTTTGCTCACTCAGATAATAGTTTCCTGGTACAAGAGGAATATTTTTTCCATTTTTGGTGCTGTTTATTCCCAATGTAACAGCTACAGACTCCAGAGGCTTGGTTAAATTTACCTGTTTAAATAAACAGGTAAAATAAACCTGCCATCACTTGCTTAAGCCTAATAACAGTCAACAGAACAGTAGATCCATCCCCAATGTGTGCTGTGCACTGAAGTCTGTGGAATACTGTAAAGTATTTCCACGTGGCCTTGGCCTTTCTCTAGCATTAAGATGGCAGCATGTGATCTGGGAGAAATACAGAGTGGCACATCCCTCTGTATCTACCACTCAGGGACACAGAGGCAGGTGACCAAGCCTAAGAGCACAGGCCATGGGCAAATGTAGTAAAATAATTAAGAAACAGTGAGCTGTGGGTAGTTACTACCTTTTAATATCATTTATTTGATGGGAAGCTTATGTAATTTATTTTTTAACAATGGCTATGTTTGACAACTGATTCAAGGACCCCTGGGCAGTGGAAACAGCTCCAGCATACCCAGTGGGCTCAAGGGCAACACCCAGGCCTCTAAGCCTCAGAGAAGCCACCTTCTCCTCTTGGTCACAGCCTAGCTGATGGCTCCTAATGGGTAATGTGGAGCCTAGATCACCAGCTGCTCTAGTGAACTGCCCACCCTTGTGAGTACACCTCAGCTTGAGTTTTTTCACAGGGCTCTGTTAATTGCAAATATACCTTGAAGCCTGCTTTGAAGGCATTCAAGTCTGAGGGAGGACAGAGTGGCATCTTATGAGGTAAGGCTTATATCTGAGTCCCTGAAGTCATCAGTGCCTGGCAACCTCTTTGAAGAGACCCTGATTTCACTATTTGACCTAATATTCCCAAGAATGACCTCAGGAGCTTGTTAAAATGCAGATTCCCAGGACTCGTAGCAAGTGGTCAGGATTGTATGTGCCATCAGCACATGTACCCTCACCAGTGCTGTGAGTGATGTCTGTTGCAGGCAGCTGTAGCACCTGTGCGGGGCAGCCCCTCTCAAGGTCTGCTGCCCGAGGAATCTGGGAGGCAACCTAGGGCCCCCCGAGGCCATAAGAGAGCTCGGCTAGAATTTGGGAGGATTCTGAGCTATTGGATCTTCAACCCTTGCCATGTGAGGTCTGTTTGTGCCTCTGTGGGCTCACACGCCATCAATGAACTGGATCCAGTTGCGTGGAAGATGTTAGTTTTCCAACATTGATAATCACCACTAATTAAAGACAAATAGCTACCATATTTTTTAGGTCTGCTAAGGCCACGTGCTTTACAGATATTATTGGTTAATCCTCCTTGCAACACCACAAGGTCCTTAACACCCTCTGTTTCAAATGTTAGGAAGCAGAGGCTCCTCTCTGTTAAATGCTTCTGTGAGGGCCATGTCAGGGTAAGCAGTAGACCCAGGACTACCTGCCCTGAACTTGTGTATGGACAGAAGAGCTTCTCATCTGCAACTTATGTCATTCATGAGTCCCAACCAGCATATTTTTAAAATTTTTCTTAGAAAACATTTTCTGTACTTTTAAAAATGAAATATAACCAAATAGATTGTCACATGCTTATCACATGTCAAAAGTTAATATTAGTGGGTAAGCAGTAGACCCAGGACTACCTGCCCTGAACTTGTGTATGGACAGAAGAGCTTCTCATCTGCAACTTATGTCATTCATGAGTCCCAACCAGCATATTTTTAAAATTTTTCTTAGAAAACATTTTCTGTACTTTTAAAAATGAAATATAACCAAATAGATTGTCACATGCTTATCACATGTCAAAAGTTAATATTAGTTTATGAAATTTTTATTTCTGTGAAATATATTTATTCATGGAATATGTGCCAGATCACAGTGTAAGATACATTTATTTATTTATAGCTTTAAATCATATTCAAAGAGGATTTTAAAAACTCAATTTCAGAGATTCCATTAGTGAGTGAGAAATTTGTTGAGTGACCTCCAAAATTCTGGTAGTGTCCGCATGGGAAACTTAAAACTGACACAGTCATGAAAAAAGTATCATTATATGGGACATCGGCACTCCCTGCCTATGAATATTTGTCAGATTAACAGTTGGACATTTCATTTAAGTCAACATTGGTTTGTGTTCAGAAATCATGGCCATCTACTGACAAATTTAAAGAGTCAGGCCATCTATCACCAAAGACAAAAAGAACCAACCCAAGGGCTGGCTGGCAACCACTGGGGCCTAATCTCTGCCCACATGTGATTCTCCACTAGCAGCTGCCTTTTCTGCTGAGTAGGGAAAGGAAGAGACCAGCTCAGCTCAGAGCTCATGTGCTAGGCACAGATCAGAGAGCAGGAGGCAGCAGGAAGCAGGTTCATGCCAACCTGTTAGGGACCCTCCAGGAAAAGGGTCTGGGACCTGACATTTACCAGACTTCCCAGATAGTTTTGAACTTGTCAGAGCTAGAAAGACAATCACTATTCATGGCTTGCTTTGGAACATGGGACCCCCAAAACATGATTTGGGGGTCCTATCCCAGGCAGCCCTACATATAGTTTTAGAAAAAAGTTACATGACAGAAAACTTTGCCCAGGCAGCTAGCACCCTTACACACATCTTGAAGCTGTGTATGTTGAACTAGTCTTCGTGTCATTTTGGGGCACTATAGCTTGATGGAGATCCCTCTTTGTGGGTAAAGCCCTCTTGCACCTTTTTGGGCCCTTCATGAGCCCAAAAACACAGGGCAGCAGCTCCCCACTGAAGCAATAGTCACCTGCGTAGCCATGTGCACCAGCTCTTCCCCTTCATGTAACCTGGGATGCTTCTTCTGATGGGCACTCGTTCCTCCCAAGTGATGGAAGCCCAGGAAACCATGGATTTCTCCTTGCCCCTCACTCCAGCAGGGAGCCACTGACCAAGCCAGAGGGCAGCATTCAAGTCAGCATGAGAACTGAAGTTTTCTGATGGCTCCTAAATTGGCTGTGCCCACATCCAGTGCAGGGTAGAAAGAATCACCAGTACTGTTTCTGGACTGGGGCAGGGATAAGTGACCTCACTCCCCCGAGGAATGTGTGTATCTGTCCACTGACCAGTGACATTTTCCTCCTCTCTGCTTTCTCATTGCAGGACACAACGGTCTGGTGGCTGTGAGTACTTCCCTCTTGGCCCCATGTCCCTGACCCTGGAGCCTTTAAGTCTCAGCACTGGGGTGCAGCATGAGGAAACGTGGCAGAGTTAAGGCCCAGGACAGCTGTCCATGCTCCCGGTGCCCAGCAGGAGCCAGTCCAGTGCACATCTATAGCCAGTTAGAGAGGATGTCACAATTCCCTCTCTTGTCCTGTCCTAGGGCACATGATGCCCCCGCCATGCTCTGGGGGTGGGGGTCAGCTAGCATTGAGAAGCATGTTGTTGAAAGTAAGAAGGTGTGTGCACATAACTGATCCAGAAGAAGTGGATTAGCACCTGAGGATTAGGACCCTGGGGCTGGGGCTCTCACTTCAGGTTAGGGACAGTCCTAGTGTACAGAGAAAGACTTGTGTAATGTATCACTCAGAGTACGTAGCTGCTTTGTGTACAAAGTGGGCCCTGGCAAGGTGAGGAGCCCCACTTCACAGAGGGGGCCCAGGACCCTGCACCCAGCACAACTGGCTTCTAGACCCCACCCTAGCTGGACCAGAGGCACCCCCAAGCTGTCATCTCCTCCCTGGATCCATATACCTCTAAGAGGCCACTGAGGGTCTTACAGCCCTCATCTGGAAGCCCATGTGCTGGGCACAGATCAGAGAGCAATGTGGACCATCATCTGGAGGCAGTGGCAGCTCTGGAATATTGAGATGGAGGAACTTGGAGAAATGGTGTGAGATGCCAGGGGACGTTGCTAACCCTTAATACCTTGCCCAATGTTTCAGTTTTAGTTGAACATTCTACAGCAGTTTTAACACTGGTTTAATTAATGTAAACATGCGTTTGTATGCCAGTTCTACCACTTTCTATCTGAAAAGATTAAGGTGAGGCACCCAGCCTTTCTGAGCCACAGTAAAATAGGAATAATGCTCCCACCATGCAGAGATGCTGTGACAGTAGCAGGGTACAACAGAGCTCTGGCTGGCATATTAAGTGAGACACAAGTGGTGACTTATTGGATATGTCCAGGGACGGGATGGCTGGTGTCATTGCCCTTCTTCCAAGGGGGACCAGGACCACAACTGTGGTTATCCAAGTTGAGTTCCTTACCATTTTAGCAAGGGAGACACACACCAGAGGCCACGGAGTATTTCAGTGAGAAGTTGTAAGAAAAAACCTCAACAGGATCCGAGCTTTGGTTGGATAATGTGGGGGAAGGCCTGGGAGGGTAAGGCTTTCTCCAGATTAGACTGTCAGAAAGTGAGGACAGCCCTTTGACTGGGATTCTCTGTAAATCTTGTTGATAGAGCAGAGACAACATGAGGACATCGGTGACTGGTGAAGAGGCAGCAGTCATTCATTTTGGCTGGAGGGCGTGTTTGATATTTTTTGGATGGCACAGAAGCTTGGTCTTGTCTGTGTTTAGTCAAAACTACAGTGGGCGTGTTGTATCACATTCTATCCTGGTCTCAGTATAACTGTTTGAGGCTATTCTTTGAAACGTTCTATATCTAATTGGAGACTCACATCTGCATGCCAGGCCAGTTTCCAAATGTCAGAGACTCTTCTTGTTTGTTCTCAGTAGCATGTGTTAAGGTTGTAGACCCTGGGTTCAGACCGTCTGGGCTTACTTCCCACCACCTCCACTCATCAGCTCTGGGAGTCTGAAGCAAGTTGTTAGCCTTGCTGCATCTCAGTTTTCTCATCTGTGAAATGGGGAGGGCCACAGTGCCTGCCTCTAGGATGATGGAGTGAATTAAATTAGATATATTCACAGTGTCTGGCATATGGTGGTTGCCAAGTGAACTTTTTAAAAAGTCTGACTTCTAAATTTGATTCTCCTTGTCACATTGGTTTTAGTGGTGCTGGGAAGACTGGCACTGTGTGGAGAGACTGTATGTCCAGGATTAGCTCAGTTTATTGATTTTCCACTAAGTGACAGAGAAAATTGATAGAAAGCCCTGCATCATTTCTTCCCTCAAAATAAGGTTCTGCTACGGCCTCAGCTTCATATTTATCACACATCTCATGTGCCAGAGACCATTTCAAGCCCCTGGGAAATAGGTCGGGTCATCTTCACAGGAGCGCTAGGGAGTAGGTAGAGTTGACACTATTTGCCCTGGCCCCCCTTTACCTGAGGAAACTGGAGCTGGACAGGTCAAGTGCTGGACTTGCCCAGCAGAGAGAATGAAGAGTTGGACCTTTGGATTCTGGCTCTGTATGCTGAAGCCAACTTCACCATGTGGGGAAAGAGGCTTGTTCCCAGCTGAGGGAGAGGGACGTCGGGCAGGGTGGGCAGGATGCAGTGTAAGCTCCCACGGCGCCCAGGCCTCTAAGGATGTCACCTTCAGCTGGGACATGTTGGGGAACAGAAACAGACATGTCACATACTAGAAAACATCTTAGTAGCATGAACCAAGAATGGCAAGCTGGCTGGCCCTTCAATGAGGATCCTGAGACCCCTTGTCAACCCCAAGAGTCCCTGTGTTACAGAGGGATAAGGGAAAGACCCTGTGCTCCCCTAGGCAGCATACCTGCAGAAGCTGGGGGTGAACACAGTGGTCTTCGAGAGGCGTCATGTGATCGGGGGTGCCAGTGTCACTGAGGAAATCATCCCAGGTAAGCACTGGGGGTGGAGGGGGTGGGGACGAGGTGGCCACTGGTGACCCATTCTTCTCTTTGGTTCTAGGGTTTAAGTTCTCCCGAGCATCCTACCTGCTCAGCCTGCTGAGGCCTCAGATTTATACCGAACTGGAGCTAAAGGTAGAGTAGCCTGTGCAGCAGTTCCACCTTCTCCCCTGGGGTGAGGCCTGCCTGTCCTGACCCTGAGCGGGCTCTATCCCGTACCTGAGAGATACTCATGGGCTCTCCCTTCCAGGGCAGGACTTGCCTGTCCCACAAGGTCTCCTGGTGCGTTTCACAGATCAGTGTTCACTAGCCCACAGATGTCTTTAAAAGTGGGAGAACTTCACATAGAAATGTTTTGAAGAGTTGTTTGTCAACATAAGGTCCTCATTTTATATGGAGGCACTTGGCAGTGCCCTGGGCAGTCAGGAGCCCCCTAGCTTCACCCTGTCCCTGTCATTTCCTTGTGTCTTAACTGACTAGTAGGACAGCTGAGTAGAGCCAGAGTGCAAGATTTTGCAGAAATACCTTAGACACAAGCCCTATTTCTGCCCTCATTAAGCTTTGGAGCCTGTTGCCATTCTTGGCAGCATGGGCAGATGTGAGACCTGAACTTTCACTTTTTCCAATCCTTTTCACCTGCTTTTTGCTTACTTACTTAGCCTGCTAAATTTTTCCCATCGACTTGCCCCTCCTGCCGCTCACAAACCTCCTCCCTTACCCCTTTCATTGCGTTGTCACCATCCCACCAAGGAGCGGCCCTGGGAACCACCCGTACAAGCGCCTGCCAGCTGCTGTGTACTGGGCACCAGTTTTGCCCTGAATTTAAAGTTCGAAATTAACATAATGCTCAGTCATTGTTTGTAGCTCTTCAGCTTCTCTAATTGATTCTTCGAGGAGTCCTGTGAATTAGGTGACTACAGAAGCCAGAAGTAAGAAATTACTGAGAAAGAAAGAGGAAATACCCTGGTACCAGGACTGAACACAGTTGAGCCAGGGCGTAGGAATTGCTCTGGGGTCTTTACCCATATCGCACTATAGCTAAGAGCAATTGGTAAATGTACCAATTATTTGTGGTGTCAGATGTTGAGTGCCAGAGGCCACCTCTGTCCTTTCCTTTCCTTGGTGATCTTCCAAGTTTCAACTATATTCCTTCTGTTCGTATTTTACTGTAGGAATACTCTAAGTTGAAGTTTTCGAACCTGCAGATTCCTAAGAATGAGCTGGGGACCAGTAGGCAATTGGACATTTCCAAATGTTCTTGCTCAGAAGTCTGAGTCTATAGAAGCAGTGGGGTACAGGAACAAGCATTTTAAAATCTCTTCAGGTCATTCTAAAACAGGAGGCTCCAAACATAGCTCAGAACTCCACCCTTCAAATCTCTATATCCCTGGTCTCTGATCTACCTTTCTGGGGATTCCACCTGGGATGACCTGGGCTGGGATGCTGAAAGTTACATAGCTAATCAGAGAATGGGCTGTTTTTGCATTTTAAGAGAATGTGATGCTCTAAACAAATTCCTGGAGGTCATTGGTATTTAAATGCCCCTTCTTCTGTCACCATATAATTAAAACCATAAACAATGACAAAGTCACCATTTATAAGAAAAAATCCTAGAATCAGTCAAAAATGACTCCTGTTTAATTAGTTACACTTAGATAATTTCTGGGGCCCCTATGAGAAGGGGTTATTAATTTGTCTAGTCGATGTTCCTGATCACCTGCGCCGCCAGGCACTGGGAGAGGCCCTGGGGATCCAGTGATAAACTTGGAGGTAGTGATGGAACTTCAGGTAGAGGTAACTGGCAGAAAGAAAAGAAAGTAAGCAGTATGATAGGGAAAGTCTGGAGAGCCCAGCCTGCACTGGAGACCTGGAAATTCTTCTTCGGGGGGTGAGAACTAAAGTCACCCCCAGGTACCTCCACGAGACAACTGCTACCGTGCCTCACAAGATGGCAGCCTGAGCCAAGGCTTGTGTAGTAGAGGCTGCCAAGACTTGCTTCTGCTTGGGATGCCAAAAAGTGAGAGTGACAGAAGAACTCAGGATGTTCCTTGGGCTTTAACAGGTCACTGTATTAAGGAAACCAAGCTGGAAGACATCCAACCTGAAGTCAGATTTCTCAGTCTTAATGTTAGAAAGGACATGAAATTCTCCCTTGCCAGCCCCATCCTGTGTTCAGAATCTCCGCAGCAAATGCTCCCATGCCTGGCCATCCCAGCCACCTGGAGCATCTCTGTTTTGGACAGTTAGAGCTGTACTTGGGAAGAGTTATTGTGGTTTCTGTGTGTCATCCTGACACTTACAGGTCTCATTCTGTGCGTTGGCGCCTTACCTGCCTGTAGCAGAGCCTTCTCCTCTCTGCTCAGCATAATGCTTGCTGATGCCCTAAATCTCCATTTAGGTGATGCAGGAGTGTGCAACACAGACAATGCCCCTGACCTCATGGACCTTCTCTTCTACTTAGAAGGTGAAGAAACATGGTATATAATTAGCCATGTGATGACAAGGGCTTTAGAAAAAATAATGCAGATTGAGGGGACAGGAAGTGGTGATGTGGTCAGGGCAGGCAATGCTAATAAAAAACCTTACAGAAGTGAGGGCCCAGGTCACAGGTGGGGGAAAGAAGTCTCTAGACAGCAGCAGGGATAAGGCTTACTTAGGTTAGCAGTCCATGTCCCTTTTGTTGTATCTTTGCCCCCATAGAGAAACATCTGTAAATCAAGTCATATTTTAAACACTGAGAGAGAACTTCTATTTACAGTGACCCAGGAATAAGTGAGTCTTCAAAGTAAATAAAAATTTTGATGTAAATAATATATCTACATTATATGTATGGATTTTCACATAACCACTTTTTTATATGTCTCTGTAAATTTTATTTATTTCTGAAGCAGTACACTTAGAGACTATTTCTGAGACCCAGGGGCTGGGAGTCACAGCCATGAGGTTTTAAAACATAGGTGCAACTCTTAAAGTGATCTGGGATAAATCATCTAACTTCTCTGAATTTCCATCGTGATGTTTTCACAAAGAGGATAATAGTACTTAGAGAGATGTTGTGTGGTAATAATCATAAACCCTGGTACAGTCTCTGCCACAGAAAAAGCACAGTGTGGCATGGTATGGTATGGTCTGTCATTGAGTGCAGGAGAACTTTTTATAAACTTATATATATAAAAAAAAAGAAAGCCAGGACCCCATACGTTAGGAACCTGCAGACAGCTACCCAGGGGCCACACAAACACAATTGGAGAAATGTCAACAGCAGACACTGTAAACCCCTAAAATATTGCCCATATGTTTTGTGTTCTGCAGAAACACGGCCTGAGGCTTCATCCTCGAAATCCCTACTCCTTCACCCCCATGCTGGAAGGTGACACAGGGAACAAAGTGCCCAGGTCCCTTCTGCTGGGCACAGACATGGCAGAAAACCAGAAGCAGATTGCCCAGTTCTCACAGAAAGATGCCCAGGTAGGAAAAGTGACCAGAGACTAAGCTCCTCCCCGTCACCATCCTGGCTGCGGCTCTTGAAAGGAAGGAATGGATTGGTGCTATCCTGGAACACAGTGTCCAGAGGCCTTGGGGGCTTGGACAGGGCATCCTGCCTTCCTTGGAAGGCTCCAGTCTGAACTAGCTTTTGATCTCAGGCCCTGTGAAGAGAAGGGATGGAGGGCAGTGATTAAGGCCTTCAACCCTGTGCATGTTCAGTATGAGGCTACTGTCCAGATGGCCTCCGCATGCTGAATTTCAAAAGGGAACCTACTGGTATGCACATTCACTATGTGTGCCTTAGATCCCTCCTGCTTCCAGACAGAAGCCCAAAGGCTTCTCCACATGAAAGCCACAAAGGAAGATGAAGGGCAGATGAGAGACAGTTAAGGATAAAATGACCTGGATCAGGAACTTAAGAAGAAAATATTCACTCAATTTGGCATCAATCCCCTGACACCCAAGACAGTAAAGGGTTCATGATGGTGTGCAAGTCTGTGAAAGGAAGTGGTGTGTGTGTGCTGTTTGCTTGAGCTGCAGTCTAGAAAATGAATCACTGTATAATATAATGGGCTTGGTTATGATGGGTTCTTGGGATAGGGAATGCTACATGCTGAAGCTGTAGCATTAAATCAGATCCTTTTTTTTTTGGTTCTGGGGATTGAACTCATGACCTCACACTTGCCAGGCAGGTGCTTATGCCACTGAGCTAAATCCCCAGCCCATTAAATCAGATCTTAATGGAGACATTTTCATAAGAAGAATCTAGGTTAGTACAATCCATGTACATTGCCTTGTGTTGTCTTAACTGAGTATTTGGTGGAACGTAGAGAGCCACAGACAAATGGTGCCTATCTCTTCAACAGGAGGTTTCTTAACCTGGCCGATGAGCAGAATCACCTGGGGAACTTTGCTTTTTCCAAGTGCTTCTCTTGTGACTGTTCTGTGCACTGGCCTCCGCCCTCTTCCAAACCTGCCTATCTCAGGTGCCTTAGGCAGGAGTCAGCACAGCAATGGCCATGGCCCTGCCTGTTGGTGGGAAGCCGGGCTCATTTCCTATCATAGAATACAGAAAACCCTGTTTCTGGTTTTGTGTTTGCAAGTTGTCATTTTAAAAGCTTGTTCTAGAGTGGCCTCTTTAGCTTCATTCTTACCAAGACTTCTCAAAAGTTCTTCAACACAGAACTTTCCTTTATGTAACCTACTATAATTCCATGGCACATTCATGGGTATAGCTCAGCCCACATAAAAACTCTGGATTCAGAATCAGGAGTGCCTTCAAAGACATAAGCGCTTTTTCCTGCCCCTGTCACTGGTCTCCTGGAGGGAGGGTGGGTGTTGGGATCCAGTTAAAGAAAACAGGTTTTGTTGTGGGAGCTCATAGGACAAGGAGATACAGGTTTATGTCACTGTGTGTGGGTGACACATCAGACTGACAGATGAGGCAAGAACCTCTGTACCCTGAGGCTTGAGGAAGAGACCAGCCTCCACCAGTCACATATGGAAATATGGAAGGACAAAAAGAAAAACTTCTGTTCTTATCACAGCACCCACATCCTCAGACCCTTGCCAGTTTCTGTAGCTGCGTTGGCCTACAAAAACTCTTTTCCCTGGCAGCTTCCATATTGCGCAGGTCTCTGTGTCCTCTCCCATGCCCTTTTCCTGAGGCTGATATCAACACAGACTTTGGGGGAGGAGGACTCAGCAGGACCAGGCCAAGCTACACATTAAGTGAAGCATTAGGAACCATCAGGACTCTGCTGTGGAGTGTGGTGGCCATGTGGGAGTGACATGGAGGACAGGACATGGAGATACTATCCTTGTGGGATTTGGGGCAGTGGAGCCTTGATCTAGAGCTCTATTGCAGGCCTTTCCCAGATATGAGGAGTACATGAACCGCTTGGTACGGGCTATTGACCCTCTGCTGGATGCAGCCCCTGTGGATATGGCAGCCTTCCAGCATGACTCCCTGCTGCAGAGGCTGAAGGCACTGTCCACTCTCAAACCCCTGCTGAGGGCAGGTGAGTCCATTAAGAAGTGAGGAGTGGCTTTCACGGGTGGAGGAGGGAGCCTGCTTTCCTGATGCCTGGTAATAAACCTGAACCCCCAAGCACCTGCCACTCATCACCAGTTACTAGACTATCTCCACTGAGTCCACCTGGAGCCTACATTGAGGTCTCAGGATGATGTGGCTGAAACCAAATCTGGACCAAGACTGCATCAGTGTCACAGAAATGGACTCCTCCCAGGGAATGTACCTTATAGAGTTCAAAATAAGGGAATAAGGTACAAGTTACAAATTTTCCAAAAATAATACTAACAGCTAAATTCAGTCAGTGTCTATGAACTTGCAAATGTTTACATGTGTCATTTAATCCTCACAGTGGTCCTTGTGAAATATGACTCCCATTTTACAGATATAGAAACAAGTTCAGAGACATTAAAAGGAGGTCCAAGGCCATGCCTCTGGGAAGATAGGGGTTGTGGCCTGCAACCACTATGCTGCCCTGCCTGCCAGACTGCAGTGCTCTTATCCCCTCACCCCAGATCAGAGTGTTTCCTCACAGCCTGTCCTAGTTGCTGTCCTGTGGGTTTTGTCTCCTAGGCCGCATCCTTGGGGCCCGGCTTCCCCAGTACTACCAGGTCCTCACAGCTCCCATTACCAAGGTCAGTACTTCCCAGCCTCGGGCCTGGGTCTGCCAGCCAGGTCTCTGAGGCCTTCTCCTTGCAACTTTGCTGTCCAGGTGCTGGACCAGTGGTTTGAGTCAGAGCCTCTAAAAGCCACTCTAGCAACAGATGCTGTGATTGGAGCCATGACAAGCCCCCACACTCCAGGGAGTGGGTAAGCAAGGGCACTGAGAGCCAGGAGGAGGGAGCACATTCACCAGAGAACAAGGGCAGGGCCGGGAGCAACTGTCAGTTACTGAGCACACTCAGGCACTGCTCTTGAACACACTTGCATGGGGACTGAAAAGACAAAGAGCTTGCGCCCATTTAAAGGTTCATGAAAAGGGCTGGGTGGGGGCAGGAAGAAGGTTCAAGACGGAAAGCGATATTTGATGTAAAGCTCGGGATGTGAAATTCCATTTCCAGCACCTGGTCTTATGTTCTGTGCTTAGATATGTGCTGCTGCATCATGTGATGGGGCACCTGGAGGGAGTGCAGGGTGCCTGGGGCTATGTCCAGGGTGGCATGGGTGCCCTTGCTGATGCCATTGCAAGCTCAGCTTCTGCATATGGAACAAGTATTTTCACTGAAAAGGTAAGTGCCTCCTCCCCTGATTATTGGCCATGCTGCAGAACAGTCTGGAGTTGGGAAGACCCCTTGTTTTCCTGAGGGAAATAGTGGGGTTTAACATCCCGGCGCAAGTAGGGTGGTGTACCCTGTGGCAGCAGAGAAGTGGTCAGGGATGTCCCAGTTTTCCTGACCGGCTTCTCTGAAGTCACCAATAACTGAGCAACATTTGGGGTGAGCTTCCCCAGAACCTGACCAAGCTCGGAGGGCTAGATTGGGAGGAGGAAGCAGGAGTGGCCAGGTACAGTGCAAACTGTGGAATCCTACCAGAGTCAACCTGAGTCTTCTTTCCTTGTGGGGCCTCTTGCTGGTGGAATCCAGACAGTGACCAGGGTACAAGTCAACAGTGAAGGACGCGTTCAAGGAGTTGTACTACAGGATGGCCTGGAGGTGAGGAGCAAAGTGGTGCTGTCCAGTGCATCGCCTCAGGTCACCTTCTTGAAGTTGACACCACAGGTGAGCCAAGAATGGAGGTGAAACGTCTCCCAGGAAGGGCTGGAACACAGGGCCAGCAGGGGAACCAGGACTACATGAGTGCGGGAGATAAGAGTGCTGTCTCCTTTGGGGAAGCAAGCAGGTAATGGTCCAGTAACAAATAAGAGAAGCTGCATAGGAGAAAGGTTCAGAGAGGTGAGGTGACCCAGGCCATGCAGCTGGCAGTTACTTGCTGAACCAGCCCTAGAACCCACATCTGACCTTCTATCTAATGTTAATTTTACAACTTTCCTACTTCCTTGATTTTTATTCTCTCACAACTTTAATTCCACTGTCTGTGTCTGTGTCAAAGATCTGTCACTATATTGGTATTGCAGAACAACCAGACACAAACCTTCTGGGCAAATGAGAAGAAATAGTAGCAGACATGGAGAATTCAGTAGATTTTGGCTGAACTGCAGTGATCTGGGCTTGCTCACGTGCCTATAGTCAGCTGTGGGGCAGCCAACCAGCTCTGCTATCCTTCTTCTTGTGCCTAGGATTGGCTGGCTGTGGCAAGTTCAGGACAGTTTAAGAATGGCCAAGATGATTTGCCTCTTCTCCAGGTGCCTCTCAGTCTTCTAGGTCAGTAGTCCAAGCATGTTCTCAGGCACTGGCAGAGAATCCAGCAAGCTCAATCATGCAACATTATATTAATTCCTCTTTTGGTGTCTTATTTTCTAACATTGACCAAAGCAAGTCTCACAGCCAAACCCATAGTGAGAGTGGGAAGTCACTCCAAAGTTACATGAACAATGGACATTCAATAGAGAAGGCTGAGAATCTGGGGTTGTTATTGCCATTGACCACCGTTTCTCTGTCCCCAGAAGATCGTACATGTGTGCCCAGAATTACTGGTCATTCTGGGGACGTTAGAGGTAATACCACTCTTTCTGTGTGTTCCCACTAACAAAATTTAGCAAACATCCTTGCAGTGCATCTTGCAAAGTTAAAGCAATTAGACAGATGTCAAGACTTCCAGAATTTAGAGACTAGAAGATAAAACGGCAGGGTGGGAGCTGCTTTCTGGCAAGGCTGCTGACACAGCTCAGAGGATGAAGTATCAGGCTGAGTGGCTTCATGAAGGAGGTGGCTTGGCTAGCTCTGGTGCATGACAAGGATTTCCAGGGACAGAGCTTGAGGGAGTGACCTAAGCAAAGCAAAAAGTTAGCTTCCCTTGGGACTCTGGCCGTGCTTGGCCTGTCATAGAGGCTTCCTGCAGGAATGGCTTCCAGAGGCATTCACAAAGAGAATTTCCCAGCTGGACACACAGTCTCCTGTTACCAAGATCAATGGTAAGAACACCTGATAACAGAACTGAAACTTTCGGCACTGTCTGAGTGGGAAACCTTCATGTCTGGGGAAAAACACCCACACCATCTCTATCCCTGGCCTCCAGCCTGCCCCCAGTTTGAAAGTGAAACTTCACATTTTCAGGCTTTCAGTCCACCTGTGGGCGAGCAAGGTGATGGCTGTAGGGTAAGGGCCCTGCAGGGTTGGAGACCTGACCTTCCTCTTTGGTCCTTTAGTGGCCGTGGACAAGCTGCCCAACTTCCTGGCAGCTCCTAATGCTCCCAAAGGCCAGCCGCTCCCCCATCACCAGTGCTCCATCCACTTGAACTGCGAAAACACCCTCCTCCTCCATCAGGCCTTTGAAGATGCCAAGGGCGGCCTGCCTTCTTGCAGGTAGTTGGGCTTGGGCTTCGCATCCCCTAGATGTTCTGGCCCAGGGGACAGGGATAGGGAGCAGCCATGCAGACATGGCAGGAACTCTTCAACCATTGAACCTTTGTGATGATCTAGGATCTACCTTGTTCTAAACCTAAGTTCTAAGAATAGGAAGTGTATCCCAGGTGAGAAATCTGTAGACCAGGGAGCAGAACCTGTCAGGGATTGTTACAAGTAGTAGAAGAGCAAGTCCTCCAGAGGATAGTGCTGGGGTTGGGAAGAAGAAAAAATGCTTTATGTTAGAGAAAATGAGGTACCCTAATTCAGAGGCATGATGACGCACACACTGAGCCCCTAGTTGGCATCTTCCATGATACCAGATAAACTGCCTTCATGCAAAGTTTCTAAGAGCATTCTTGTGTCTTGCCACAGCTGTATATGTCATCCTAGCAAACACTGTGAGCCCCACATCTTTCCATTTTGTCCTTCAACCAACAGATACAAAGTGTATGCATAGTAGGCTCTGTACTCTGTGTGGGTCAGAGACACAAATGAAAAAAGCTAATGGCATGCCAGACACAGACATTTGTATCTTATAGTGACGAGCATGTGGCCCTAGAGAAGGATGCAGTGGATAGTGATTTATCCCTTTGTAAATATCTGGGGACCCCTTCTCTGTGTCAAGCAAAGGCAACAGGCAAAAGCTGAGTTGTTGACTTTCCATTGAGAGAAGATGAGACAATCCACAAGTGGGTATCAGTGATAAGCGCAGTGCAGAGAAGCAGGCAGGAAGGGGAGGATCTGCTGGGCAGATGTTCATAACGGAACATTTGAGCAGAGAATTGTAGGAAGGGAGAATACCAGGCTTGATGGTTTTTGGGCAAGGAACATCCAGAGAGAAAGATGGTCAGGTGCGCATGCTCTGCGGTGGGATTATGTGGATGTGTGAAGGCAAAGGGCCCAGGTCAGAGTGGCTGGAGAGAAGGAACTGGAGCGGGTAGATCCTATTAGTGCTAGTTGACTGGCTGCTCCTGACTCCCACTCCAGAAGTGTTACGGAGCTCGACTTGCCCGTTAGAAAGACCACCTTGGCTACTGTGTAGATCTGTTGAAGTTGGTTACTGTTGTAAAATCCAAGGTAGAAAGTGGATAGTGGCTCAGACCAGCCCGAAAGTAGACAGTGGAAGTGGGATGAGGGAGCCAGATACAGGGTATAGTTTGAACATAAAGTCAGTGAAATTTGCTGTTGGACAGGAACTAGTGGGTGAGTGAAAAGTAACTACTGTGGCCTCATAGTGACAAGTAGCCCAGCTTTGGCGTTGCCTCAGAGATGTTCCTCTGTCTTGAGTCACCTCCAAGTGGCTCCCCAACCCCTCTCCTCAGGCCGCCCTTCTCCCTCCCCATGCCCTGCAGGCCTATGATTGAGCTCTGTATCCCATCTTCGCTGGACTCCACGCTGGCTCCCCCTGGTTGCCATGTAATCTCCCTCTTCACCCAGTACACGCCCTACACTCTGGCAGGAGGCAAGATCTGGGATAAGCAGGAGAAAAATGCTTACGCAGACAAAGGTAAAGGCAGCCACACAGCTGCCCTGTGACCCGACTCAGCTGCATGTGATACAAGGGGAACCTCCCCTCCTGACTGCCTGTTTCGGGATGAATAACTACATGTCCTGAGGGGAGACGAGAACTGGAGGGAACTTCCTATTGACTTTGTACTGGGCTTCTAAGAAAGCCAAAAGAACAAGTTGCTCTCAAGTTGTCCCCAGTCTGGTCAGGGATAGCAGCAAATGAGTCATTGCAGTACTATGCATTTTACTGAACCAAAGGAGGGAGCCAAGGAAGCAGAATGGGAAGGCTTTCAAAGAAGAGACATTTGATCTTGGTTAAAGGATGAATAGGAGTTGGCCAGAAAGTGAAGGGCATTTCAAGCAAAACGCAGAAGCTGACGCAAAGCAAAGGAGTGAGATGAAAAATATTTTGAATTTTTCCAAACATGGACAGCTTTGTACTTAGGCTTGTGATAAGGAGATGGGGAAAAAGTGGTCCTGGACTGGCCTCAGTCCTCTTGTGTTTGTGATGCCATGTTTTTGCCTGTGGACTATTTTTTTGTTGTTGGTTTTTTACTTATTGAGGTATAATGTGTCTTTAAATACTCTTTGAAGCATGTAATTTAATAAATTTTAGTAAATTTACCTCATTGTACAAGCATAACACCTGTTCCTCTTTTCCTCAACACCATCTTGTCCCCTGCTGTTGGACACACAGTATTTGATTGCATCGAGGCCTACGCCCCTGGCTTCAAGGGCTCAGTGGTGGGCAGAGACATCCTCACCCCGCCAGATCTGGAGAGAATCTTTGGGCTTCCTGGAGGGGTGAGTATGAGCCTGAAGTCTCGTATCACTCTTCCCCTCACTCTCCTTCTTGGCTCTGCTCTCTCAGCTCTACCCAGCCCTCTTCAGGAAGGGAGAACTGTGGCAGAGACCATGGTGGGAAGGGGACAGAGTGGTGGACAGAGCTAAGGAACAGGAAGGGTGGGAAATAGAGAAACAGGGACCACACGAGATGATCCCCAGGACTGTGGCCCTTCTGCCTCAACACCCATGGCAGCCTCTCCCACGTGGCTTTCATTAGAAGGTGCTCTCCGTGAGGAGCCAGTCCTAGCGCTGCTCTTTAGCGAGAGCCAATCTGTGGCTGCCATTATAATCAGAAGTAATTCATACGGAACCAAAAGAGACCCAGAATAGCAAAAGCAGTTTTGGGCAACAAGAGCAGAGCAGAGAAGCGTAGTAATATCTGACTTCCAGCTATACTACAAAGCATTAGTGATAAAAAAAAAAATGGCATGGTAGTAGAGCAAAAACATATATGTGAACCAGTGGGACAGAATTAAGGGTGCAGAAATTTCCTCAGAGACATTCAGATATTTGATCTTTGACAAATGGGCCACAAGTTTATGTTTAAGGACAGAAGACCTCTTTAACAAGTGGTCCTGGGGAAACTGGTTACCTGTGTGCAGATTGAAATGAGACCCTTATCTCTCATCATATACTAAATTAAAGTAAAAATGGATCGAAGATCTAAACATTAAAACAGGAGCATGAAATTCCCTAGAAGGTAAAATAGGTAAAATACTTGAAGACATAGACATAGGAAAGAATTTTCTAAACACAACTTTGATTGCACAAGAAATAATAGCAAGAATCATCAAATGGGATCATATCATACTAAAATGCTTCTTTACAGCAAAAGAATTAGTAAAGAGACAACCTAGAGAATGGGAAAAAAGTTTTGCTAGCTACTCCCCAGACAGAGCACTAATATCTTAGAATATACAAAGAACTCAAAAAAATTAAACCACCTAAAATTAAAGATCCAGCCAAGAAATGTGTGAGAGTAATGAACAGACACTTCACAGTGAAAGAAATTCAGATAGTCATGAAATGTACGAAAAAGTGCCCAACATCTCTAGCTATTAGAGAAATTCAAATTAAAATAATGCTAAGATTTCATCTTAACTCCAGAAAGAATGATAATTAAGAAAACAAATAATAACAAATACTGGAAATGCTTTGGTAAAAAATTGTTGGTGGAAATGTAAACCAGTACAACTGCTATGGAACTTTCTCAAAGAACTGAGAACTGCTGTGTATCTTACCCAAAGAGCTTAAAACATAATACTACAGTGATGAATGCATACCAGTGTTTATAGGAACACAATTTGTAAATGGTAAATCCTGGAAACAGCCTGTAAACCTATCAACAAATGATTAGACAAAGAAAACATGGTATTTATATACAATGGAATACTATTTTGCTATAAAGAATGAGAGACTTGAAACAGGTTTATGCATCTGGAAAATATACTGTTGAGTGAAGTAAATCAGATGCACAAACTTAAATGCCATATGGTATCTGTCATTTGAGTTAGGAAAAGTACAAACAAAGAGAAGAATAAAGAATAAATAGAAGGGACAAGGGTACAGACCTCCGTAGTAAAGAAGTGGTGTAATAGGGACGAGAAGACAGATCTCTTGTATTAGAAGTAAGTAGAATAAAGATACACCATGTGCAGGAACCTAATAAACTCAATATTTTTTCCCTAACATGAGCTAAGATTAATAATATAAACAAGAATAAAAAATGGGATAGAGGGGCCAGAGATTTAGCTCAGTGGCATAAGTACCTGCCTGGTAAGTGCCAGGTCATAAGTTCAATCCCTGGCACAAAAAAAGGGTTGGGGAATTAAAGGAGAGGGGAGGGAGAGAAAAGGAGAAAAGAATTTTTTAAAAAAGAAGCTGTCATGTACATGTAGCCACTCCTCAAGATGATTTTAAGCTGCAAGAACTGCATACTATACTAATAAAATAAAGAGCTCAACCAGGATAGTAAAAGATGGCAGCACTCCAGCACTAACATCCACGGCCCTGTCTCCACAGAACATATTCCACTGTGCGATGTCCCTGGACCAGCTCTATTTCGCCCGCCCCGTGCCACTGCACTCTGGGTACCGCTCCCCTCTCTCAGGCCTCTATCTTTGTGGCAGCGGGGCCCATCCTGGTAAGTGACCCACAGATCCACTTCCCTGTGTGGGCTGTGAGGTCTTGTGGGAGAGCGGAGGCTTGCAGAGAGAAGAGGGGGTGTGCAAGGAGGGAGAGAGAAGCGGTGTGAACCTCCTGCCCCAACAAGCTGCCAGCGCCCCTGGTGCAGCGGAAGTGCCCCTAGTGACTGGCTAGTCAGCGCAGCCCTCACTTCTTCATGGCCCTCAAATTTGGGGTTTGTCTCCAGGACAGCGTCTTTCCCATTCCAGTTTTGGGTTGTGGGAGACCTACCTGCCTAAAGCCCTCACCCACATTTGAGACAGAAAAATCAGTAAAGTTAGATTTTTAGTTGTTTCTTGTGCAGAAGACAAGCCTCCCTAGTGTACTAGAGGCTGCTGCTGTTTCTTGGTACTTTATCTGAGCTGTGGGGGCCTCAGTCTCCCAGAGTAGGCTGTGCGCCCCATCTTTCCTACCCCTTATTCTTGAATGTTCATTTCACCATTGTCTCCTTGCATAACATGTGGCCTCAGCCATGGCCCCGCCCCTCCCCACTGTAGTTCAGGGATGTTGGAGGGAGCCCAGAGTCTCTGAGTAGTGGTCCCAGGTGCTGCTGGGTCTCTGTCGTATGCCTCTGTCTCCCTCCCTGGTGGACGTCTGAGCAAAGCTATGGTTGCAGGAGGAGGAGTCATGGGAGCTGCTGGACGAAATGCAGCCCATGTGGTCTTTAGGGACCTTAAGAGCATGTGACACTGACTCAACCCCGCCTAGGAGGACAGACTCACTGCTGCCAAAGGTTGGCTCAGCTGTCTAGGAAGCTGTATTCCAAAGGTCACTATTCCTGGCAGCCAAGTCCACAAAAGCCAGCTGGTGTTTTAGAAGAATGTACAGGTTACACTTAGCACAGTTACCTGTACCCTGTGCTCCTGTGAACAAATTGGCTGTGTTTTATTAAAAACTGTTTTAGACATATATTTTACTCTTCATGTATATGTGTGTGTGTGTGTGTGTGTGTGTGTGTGTGTGTGTGTGGTGTATTTATGGGACAGTGTCACAGTAGGTAGAAGGAGCTTGTTTGGAATACTCAGTGTTGTCGTGAACAGGCTTGAAACCATGCATTTGGCCACATTGGCTGAGCCTCGGTAATAGTTATTAGGAGGATAACTTACCTGAGTCCCAATCAGTTGCTGTCACATTCCTGTCACTGTAAAAATGGACCCACATCCCCAGCAACTCATGGAGTCACCTCGGGGCATGACCTGAATATCACAAACCATCAAAACCTCCAGTCCTTCAAACAGCCATCAACGGCAGCCGCCACCAGCTGGCTTCAGCTAAGGCTGTGCAGGAACCCAGCATTGACAACTCCAGAGCATCCAGCCTCCTACTTCCTGGGAGGTAACTGTGCTGCGTGGCTGTACGCTTTGGTATAAACCTGTGGCACTACAGAGTGAGTTGAGTTGTCATTTTTAGTCAGAAAGGTGCATACAGAATGCCCCCTGGTAATGCAGCTCTCCTGGCTTTTCCAGCTTCAGCAGCTAAGGCTGCCATCCAGAGCATTCCCGTCTGTAGTTGAAGTGGCTGCTTTCCAGGGAAGCTTCCCTAACCCAGGCAAATTCACACAGGCGAGGAGGCATCCACCTCCTTACTTAATGTTGGTAAGCCTGGGTTTCTCATGGGTTAAGAGTGGTTTTAAAAACCAAATAAAACAATAGGTCATATTTTAGTCCAACTTCCGGAAGCATTCAGTACACAGTGAGGTGTCACTGATACTGTTGAAGGGCGTTCTGTCATTTTTGTATTCTACAGAAGGCAGTCTTTCCCTTCCAGAGTTGAAATCAGAAGCCAACCAGAAAAACAGTGATCTGGACAGTATACAGCAGTCTTTGGGTCCACTGAGTTTTTTCCAAATGAGGGCCCTCCTACCATTTGGTTTGGTTGCAGCTGACTGATTGAGCTTGTCGAGAATTTGGTTTCGGTCAGGATTGCTTGTTTGTTGAGATTTACTTTTCTCAAAAGACTTCCCAGGATCAAATTTTTTTAAAAAAGCTTGGAAATGAAGAGGAAAAAGGGAAGAAGAAAGAAAAAGAAGGCAAGGAAGGGAGAGGGTAGGGAAGCAGTCCTGAAGTCCAAAGTTGACTGCATCTTTAGTAAGATGTGGCTTACTGTGGCAGGGCAGCTGCCCTGTTCATCCTGACACTGCCTAACAGGAGAGAGCAGAAGTAACAACAGGAACTCGGACAACCCCCAGGGGGCTGAGACGCATCACATTAGACTTGATCTTTAAAAATACTGTGAAATTATTTTTCTGGTAAATAAGAGTCCCAGAGACTTTATGTAAGAAAATTTTAAACTATAACAAAGAAACATAAAGTGTACCCATCATCTCACCTGTAGAGATAATCATTTACAGTATTTTAGCTAATCTTTTATATCATCAGTCTTTCACATCATATTCTGTATTCTATGTAGAGGTTTCACATCTGTCCTTTCATCTCACTTCATGTCATAAGCACTTTTCAGTGTCATTAAAATTCCTTGAAAACATTTTTTTAATAGATGCCTAATATTCTTCTATAAGGAGGGGCCATAATTTATTATAAATATTATTGAGTTCAGTCTTGTCCTTGATTGCTAATGAGCACCAGGCAAAACTCCTTCAGTGCCTTCCTTCCATGCAGCTGTGGCCCTGTCCTACAGAAGACAAACTGGAAGGCAACGGGGGGAGGGGAAGAGCTGTTACAGCACCAGGAGGAAGAGTTCCCCACTGTTCTGTGATTCCCCGTCATGTGTCTGAACTCTCTGAAAGATAATGGTCAGTCCAGGTGGGGAGATAAAACCAGGCCTCCCACCATGGGGTACCTTGGCCTCACAACCCCTCTTCATGCCAGCCCGCTGAGCGAGGTGGGTTAGTCTTAACTCTAAGTGATGACTCCACAAATTGGTCATGAATCAGGCAAATGGGTCCCTTGCTGATTCCAGCACATAAAACTCTTACAAGGATGAATAAGTCAGGGCCACATCTTTACCTGATTTACAGTTGCTGGTCTCCACAAAGCAGTGGGGAACACTTCCTCTGAGGCAGGATCCTGTGAGAAGCTGACAGGGTAGGAAGCTCACCTGGCGAAGTCATTAGGTCCTGCAGCCAGCACTCCTGTGTGGAGGGCCCTGGGAGATGGAGACCAGAGGCTCACTGACATCTGAGGTTTGCACTCTGGGAGAGATTCTACATCCTAGTTGAAAAATGACAGAGGCGGCTGACCACCTGTGGGCCTTGCAGTTTTGCAGAGAAGTTGACAACCTCTGGATTCTTCTGTGATACACTGATGCCACCCCCACCGTAAAGGCTGGAATGCAAGGGTCCAGACAATCAAAGCACAGAAGAGCATTTGGTGGAGGTGTAGGGAACACTGAAAATTATAGGAAGGAATGCTAGTGCAGAGGAAAGAGAAAGATGGAGGGGAGGGGAGAGGAAAGGAGAGGAGAGAAGAGACCACAAAAGCATTGAACCTCACCAGGAATCAACTCAATGCAGTTAACACCAAATGATCTCATTTTACTGTACAATTTAGAAAATTTATGGGTAATAGAAAATTACCAGCACAGCACAAAAAGACATGCACATTCTGTTATCAGTTGCATAGATTTGTATTTCATAATGGAGTCAAAAGCAGTATCCATGTGTTTTGTTGGGTTATTCCACATCTTGCCACTTCGCCCAAGTGAAAATAACAGTGCTGTCTCCAATGATTTAGGTACAGGCATATGCATGCAGTTTTATTTGTAATGCCACCAAAATATTGGAAACAATTTAAATATCCCAAAATAGAAAATTAGTTTAATCACAATAACTGCATTGACATAGTACCAGTGACTTAATATTTACATTTTTGAGACCAGTTTTGTAATCACATAAGAAAATACTGATAAAACCAGATACAGTGAAATCCCAATTTTGTTAATTGATAAATGATAGAGATAGACATCACATATAGGTGCTATATATTAATATTTATATATACACACAGACAGACAGACAGAAACAAGGAGAAATAGCAAGAAAGAGAGAAAGAAGAGCAGAAACAGTGCAGAAGTAGCTAGAAGTCTTCTGGGCAACTTGGTGTCAATGTGGAAAGTGGTCCTTACTATCCTCATAACCCATTTAGCTTAAAAAGAGATGTATAGCAAATAGGGGTAGCTTTGAAACTTTAAAATCCCTACCTAGGAAGCCTATTCCAAATGACTTGGGAATTACTTGTGCCTTGATGTATCTATTAGTCATAAATCAGGATTTCAGGTTATGGGTTTAGAAACCTCCATGGAAGTAGGAGGGCCTTAATCACCTAAAATTCACATAACATCATAAAGCAGAAGTCTGGGATGGTCTCAGTGTTTCAGCAGCCCAACAGAAACTCTCATTCTTGGAAGGAGGTTACTGAGGTCATCCTACATCTGGACTTCCTCTGACTTTATTTGAATTTTATCAGCTCTATAATAGAAGTTGTTGGATAAACAGTTCTGTAGCTGGTTAGATGTATCTTTGATTAATAAGAGAATGGGGAGATGATAGAAACTGTATGGAGAAAAAGACATTTGCTTAGCATGCAGAAATCTTACAAAACAATGCTGCCCTTAAAAAAAGTAATACAAGAGTCTATACTAGTAATAATGTATTTGATCCAGAACTCTACTTTGTTCCTGAACAACTTGGCTTTCTCCCTTATTCTGTCAGGGCCTACAGAGGAATGCAGAGAGAGCAAACATGTTTGCATATATAAAGAGTATGGTGGTGCCTTCCTTAAGGAGGTTATGTACTAAATGTAACAACCAAAATACGTAAACCAAATGACTGTATGAGCCAGCCAACAGAAATTCTTACTGTGCTCCCCAAAAGATACACACAGGTTGAGTGTCTCTCATGGGAAATGTATAGTACTGAAGTGTTTCAGATTTCAGAGTATTTTAGATTTAGAGATATATGTATAGGCTTTAGCAATTGAGCATACTGAATCTAAAAAATCTGAACTCTGAAATATGAAACATTCTAAGTGTCAGAACTCACGAAGTTTTGGATTTCAGATTTTCAGATGAAGGCTTCTCAGCCTGTACCAATCTGCTTATATCTGCAATGTCACCTCCAAACTGGAAACTACTCAAAGCTCATCAGTGATATAACAGATTAAGGACAACAGTGCATTGACCATTGGGCAGTGGGAATGGATACCGTAGGACCATGGCAATAGTATTATATTCAAACAAAATATTTCCTGCTGCACAACTCTATAAAATGTACCAAAACAGGCAAAAGTAGTCTATCCTTTTAGAAGTTCAATTCTGAGAATATTAGAACAGACAGAAAGCTTTGGTGCACTGATAATACCCTCACTTCTCTCCACGTGATGATTACACTGTGCGAGCAGAAACGTGGACACAGCCCCAGTCAAGCTTCCAGGCAAGAATGTAGCCAACTTCTTGGTTACAGGTTTACAAAACTAAGTGGAGGGTTTAGCTAAGTTGTGCCTGGATTCCTAACCTAGAGGAACCATGACATAACACATATAATACATGAATGTTGTTTCAAGCTGTTAAGTTTATAGTGATCTGTTACACAGCAATAAATAACTAATATCTGAGAGAGGGCAACATACCACGCACATACTGGGCAAACACCATTCTGGTCATCTTCATTGAAATCATGTCTATATTCTAAAGCATTTACATTTCCAAAGACCCTGTAATCTGGACTTTGCTCCTGTGGCAGCTGGCCATCTGTCCCCCAGGATGACAAAACCTGGTGTGAACCATCCCAGAGGGCCACCTGGGTGTGGATTATCATTTAGCAACCATTTAATGTTAGGCAAGTCCCTTCATTCTTCCAGATCTTAGTTACTTTTTGTATCCAGTAAGAGTGACCATATTTTGACTGGCATAAAGCACACTATAAAGATCAATTTTCTTGCAAATATACATGT